TCCATTGGCAGATCATCTTCTTCTCCTACTCATATTAAGGGCAAATACACTTATTTTAAGATATTTTTAGAAAATTTTTGCACTGTAGGCAAACAGCCACTATAGCGTTTTTCCATCACCTCAGTGCTAGTTACAGTGTACACTCACCGGCCACTTTATTAGGTACACCTGTCCAAATGCTCATTAACACTTAATTTCTAAGCAGCCAATCACATGGCGGCAACTCAGTGCATTTAGGCATGTAGACATGGTCAAGACAATCTCCTGCAGTTCAAAGCGAGCATCAGTATGGGGAAGAAAGGTGATTTGAGTGACTTTGAACGTGGCATGATTGTTGGTGCCAGAAGGGCTGGTCTGAGTATTTCAGAAACTGCTGATCTACTGGGATTTTCACGCACAACCATCTCTAGGGTTTACAGAGAATGGTCCGAAAAAGAAAAAACATCCAGTGAGCGGCAGTTCTGTGGGCGGAAATGCCTTGTTGATGCCAGAGGTCAGAGGAGAATGGCCAGACTGGTTGGAGCTGATAGAAGGGCAACAGTGACTCAAATAACCACCCGTTACAACCAAGGTGGGCAGAAGAGCATCTCTGAACGCACAGTACGTGGAACTTTGAGGCAGATGGGCTACAGCAGCAGAAGACCACACCGGGTGCCACTCCTTTCAGCTAAGAACAGGAAACTGAGGCTACAATTTGCACAAGCTCATGGAAATTGGACAATAGAAGATTGGAAAAACGTTGCCTGGTCTGATGAGTCTCAATTTCTGCTGCGACATTCGGATGGTAGGGTCAGAATTTGGCGTCTACAACATGAAAGCATGGATCCATCCTGCCTTGTATCAGCGGTTCAGGCTGGTGGTGGTGGTGTCATGGTGTGGGGAATATTTTCTTGGCACTCTTTGGGCCCCTTGGTACCAATTGAGCATCGTTGCAACGCCACAGCCTACCTGAGTACTGTTGCTGACCATGTCCATTCCTTTATGACCACAATGTACCCAACCTCTGATGGCTACTTTCAGCAGGATAATGCGCCATGTCATAAAGCTGGAATCATCTCAGACTGGTTTCTTGAACATGACAATGAGTTCACTGTACTCAAATGGCCTCCACAGTCACCAGATCTCAATCTAATAGAGCATCTTTGGGATTTGGTAGAACGGGAGATTCGCATCATGGATGTGCAGCCGACAAATCTGCGGCAACTGTGTGATGCCATCATGTCAATATGGACCAAACTCCCTGAGGAATGCTTCCAGCACCTTGTTGAATCTATGCCACCAAGAATTGAGGCAGTTCTGAAGGCAAAAGGGGGTCCAACCCGTTACTAGCATGGGGTACCTAATAAACTGGCCAGTGAGTGTATGTTATCATTATGTGCAGTTATAACTGCTGTTACAAAATATATTTTACATTCATTTCTATTTATTTCTTAATATTAATCATTTTAATTTGGCATCTCATTGAAGCGGAAAAACACACACATAATTTATTTTTTATAAACATTTATATCAATTCAGGCTTCAAGGCGTTAAAAGCTCCTTTTAGTCTTAGGCCCAGATCATGACGCTGCCACCACTTTTCCTGTTAAATGTATACGGCCATTTTGGTGATGTGTTGTTTTCATGTCCAGCATGCAAACTGGAATTAATGTCAATGTATTAAACTTAGATATTATAGATCATCACATTATTTGCAATATCTTTTTTGTTTTTAGGATATTCCTTCTTGTAACTCTATTCACTGCTGCATGAATACAGAATGCAGGCGTCTGTTATGACACACTGACCATAACCAGTACTTACTGGAGACTCTTTCAGCAGTACTGCTCTCCTCATGGCTAGTTTCTAATTTCCCAGTTGTCCCATAATCCCCGCAGCCAGAACTAACCTACAGTCTGCAACAGTTTCTGTGAAATGCTGTTGATCTTTTGTTGGAAGCTCTTGATACCTTTGTACAATAACTTCTGTTCGATCCTTTTTAACAGTGACTTTTAATAAAAATTAGGAAATGACATCACATTCCTACTAGGAAAGCTAAAATGAATGTAAGATTAATCAGATATTCAAGAATTTATTGCAGATGTCAGCTCAAACTGAACAAATTCTGAAAATAAATCTGTTTTCAGTATTTTTGTTTTGTTTTGTTTGCACAATCAGGTAATGGTAGTTTTTAATCTATATAAAGTATATTATTATTTTGCTCCTTTGCTTTATTTTTTGGGGGGTTTTTTTCACCTAGTTGTACAGGATATGAGGGGAAATGTGGGAAAACAAACTGAATCATTGTCCAAGTAAAAAAAAAAAACATTTTAACACCACTGTGAAAATATTTGAGAGCTACTTTTTAATGTAACTGGGAATTTAACTGGAAAATAAACTAGAAAAATTAAAAGATCTGGAGGAAAAACCTGATCTAACTGCAGACAAATATCTGGCTCTCCAGCACATCAGCTACGATTTTATCTGTGATCCGGACTGCATAGAGAGCCGTGGAAGGAGCCGTGTTGAAGCATATGGTGGGATTGAAAACATGCTTCTGTTACCGATGTCTTTAGACTCTGATAATTAAACAGGTTTTATCTGAATTAGACAAATCAGAGATCAGCTGTTGTTTTGATAGCTGCTTCTGCTTGGATTATATGAGGATCTCGGCTCCATCGTTGCTATGATACAAACACAAACACCTCGATGTGTTGATGGTGATCTCAGAGGATTTCAGCAGCCATCCAGACGACGTCATTACTGCACATAGGTCATTAAAACAACACTTAAAGACGACTCGTTATCGCTCGTTATAAACCATGTTGTTGCAGCTGGAAACATCTCCCTTTGTTGTAATGTTACAAGAGTTTTTAATAACAATCACAATTTATACATTCTTTATTTAAGGAAAATTTAAGGAAAAATGTAAAGAAAAAAATTATCTATATATATCTATATATATAGGGCCTGCAAAAAACTAAGAGTTGGACGGTACAGTCAAAGTTCAGAGCTTTAGGAATATGTGTAAAAAACTATCTTTCATTAATACTTTTACATCCATTTGACTGCATTTGAGTTATTTTGCAAAAAACAAAAACAGGCAGAATTTCAGTCTCCAGAGTGCAGCTGGGATGGCTGCATATTCAGACTGGTTCTTCAAAAAGATCCCCTCAGACGGGTGGCACCCAAACAGAAGCTTAGAAATCAGATTACTTTTCTTTAATATCCATTTTTCAAATATGACTGAGCTTTTGTTGTTCTATTATGTGAAACTTCAATCTAACTGCAAAATAAAAATGTTTATAGAGTTTAAACATCTTTGAAAAATTATTATAAGCACTTATAATTTATACACATTAGCTAAAAAAACTTTTTTTCCACTGCTCTAAATTCTACCCACAGGTTCAAATTAAAACTGTTTCAGATGGGACTCCTGCTTATCCGTCATGTAAAACCGTTATTTCGAGCTTTTTAATATAAATTCAAAGATTTCCCAACAATTGATTACACAGGCTTCTACACCAAGATAGGTTCATTTGAAACCTCTAAATATCTGGAACTGACTGATGGCGTACGGATACAAGAAACAAAAGAAGGGCACAAGGAACGACACGGAGGAAAACACAAAAGGAAATGAAGAGAAATGAAGAGAAACAGAAGAAAATACTTTAAAAAGGTGGAAAAAAAGGCAAGAAGAGGCAGGAGGAAGGAAAGGATACAAGGAAGGAAGGGAAAAGAGACAGAAATGATAAGGGAAGGAAGGAAGGAAGGAAGGAAGGAACGAACGAACAAAGGAAGGAAGGAACGAACGAACGAACGAACGAACAAAGGAAGGAACGAACGAACGAACGAACAAAGGAAGGAACTAGGGAAGGAACTAAGGAACAAACTAAGGAAGGAACTATTGGACATTATTAACAATGCCAGCCACCCTCTGCACACGGCCTTCACCTGATCCGTGGGAGATTGCTCCTCCCTAAATGCAGCAACATCAGACTGCTGAACTTCTTTGTTCCTGAAGCCATCTGGCTGTAAAACTCCTGACTTGGGGAGAGGAAGAGATGATAGGAAGTTTTATTTTTTTTACTTTAATGGCATCTTGCTTTAACTGTTTGTTTTTTATATAAGCTACTGGAAGCAGAATTTCCCTGCATACATTTTAACACCAAGGGATAAATAAAGCTGAGTCTAAGTCTAAGAGATTAAAATGTAAGGGACATCAATTGGAGAATAAATATAAAGAAAAAAAAGATTCCCACAGAATTAACAACCTATAGGCTTCAGAATGGAGCAACAGTGAAGCTACTGGTTTAAGGAAGCTGGTTTGAGTGGTGAGCTACAGTTACTTTCTGACCCAACATCATAGAAACGTGATCATAGAAAATGTTTCTTTATGACAATGTTCCAGGCGAGAGCAGCCGCTAAGACGGCTCATTTCACCGCCGAACACGCCGCTCGTCAATCACCCAGAGGTTACATATACCTACAGATCCAAGTCATAAAACCTGCAGCAAAAATGCTGTTACATTGTTTTGTTTGACAAAAAAATGCATAAGTAATACTATTTTCATAACAAACACAATCAATCCGCTGCAGTGAGAAGTAATAACTGTCAGAGAAACAGATTACTGCTGAGACCTGGAAAGCCTGAGGAAACGCACAGCTCTCCTCTTATTTATTCTTTTCTATTTTGAAGCAGGTGAATCAATGCAATATCCTTGTAAACAGACCTTTATTTGGGAATTTCTTTATTTTTTTGGGGGTAAATAACGTGGAGCAAATTTAGGTCTTAGGAAGAAAAGTAATAATTTATTGATAAAATCTCCTCGTTGGAGCTGGAGGTGAAATGCCACCTGTTGGCTGTTTGGTAAAACTCCCGATCAACTTGTTTTAGGAACACATTTTATTGAATTAACATATTTTAACAGTAATGTTTAAATAGTGGTTCTGAATAATTTATGAACAGAAGAAACCAACAGTATTTACTCCAATAGAACGTTTCCAAGGACTCGGGTCCAACACAGGCTGAGAGCTGCAGAGCTGCAGGCAGCGTGGAGGATAAGCAAACATCAGTGGCGTCGTCTCCGTGGGGCTCTGCTCTGTCTTCTGTGATCTGGTGTTTCTGAGCGTGCGTACGGCGAGCTCGGGCCGCAGCCTCAGTCTGTTTTGCTGAGATTTTTGCGCTGCTGCTCCTGATACTCCCTGGAGTCCTCCCAGGGACGAGGACCACGGATGTTCTTCCACTCGTCTAGATGAATTTCCTTCAACTTCTGGAAAGATAAAAAAGAAAAAAAGCTGTGTTTTTTTTCTTCAGTTTCAGCCATAAATACGACTGCAGCTACCGTTACACTTTGCTTCAAGGCTGCAGCTACATATGCATGCTTTTCTATGAGACTTTTTCCTTACACTCAACCTTTCATGTATGGAGCAACAAGTAATGACATCTAGTGTTTCAAATCGGAACAACAAAATACAGATAACCCCCCCCCCTTTATCCTTTTGCAAGCATGCCCTATAGCAGGAGTCTGAGACCTTTAACACAGGTCTCACAGGTTTTGCCCCAAATCCGGTGAAATAAGTTGATTAGTGCTGCAAATATGAAACATTTTTTTGGATAAACTATTTATTGTTAAATATCTGCTACATGACAGTAGTCGCCATTTTAAAGAACCATTTTATTTGTATTTTTAGGTTTGAATAATGAAAAAGAAGCAATATGGATTGCCTGGATGTTGATATCTGCGGAAAATTATATAAAACAAACTCGTTTCACACTAATAAGGAAAAACATTCGATTTAAAAACATGTTTCTAGTTCTTTCAATGTCATTTTGTTATGGAAATTCAATTTATAAACTTTTTTTCAAGCTACATATTATTATACTATATTCAAAACTATACATTTAGCCAATAAAGAGCCATTGTTAAAGGACCAAAGAGCCACTTATGGCTCTGGAGTTGCAGGTTTCAGACTCCTAATCTGTGCAATAACTGTTTAAACTCATTTAAAGCTGCTCAGACAAAGAATCCTGCTATAGACTGCAGGCTAACCTGTTTTCATCCACAGCGTTTCTACGCCTCGCTCTCCTTACCTCATATTCCTCCTCCAGTATGACCGCCTGCTTCTGTGGATTCACCTTCGCCTCCAGTGAAGGATCCAGCTGCAAAACCACAGATGAAGAACAGAACATTTTTCACTGCTCTGTTTGCTTTAGGAGTTCCTGTAATACATTATAATACATTATTATTACTTATATGGGGTAAGATCACTTTTAAAACCCACATTTTTCACTGTAAAGCAAAATACCATCATAAACAGGAGAAAACTGACAGAGAAACACGGAGGTTGTTGTATGATACTGTGGGCAGACTTTAAAGCAGGGCCCAAAGTCCAGACTTAATTAATTAGAGAATAAATATAAACTTGGATTATTGGCCTTATGGTTTTACTGCATTTTCTAAATACATATAAATAAACAAATCAAGAGGGGTTCATATTTTGGAAAAGCAGTGACAATTTGGACCAAAATAAAGCTGCCACTCCAAAAATTTGAGAAGAATCAATTTTTGTGACTATAAAGTCAACCTATTCAGCATAAATATAATCCTCCATAAGTTCAAGTTTAACAAAAAAAAAAAAAAATCTTTGATACATGTTTGTGTCAGAGGTCAAAGGTCGGGTCCAGAGCAGCTTTACAGGGTTCTACATTCTCCCCAAGAATAGCTCTGAAATCAATCCCACGCTGATCATTACTTTTATTGAGTTCATAATATTTCACTGTAACAATGCTAAGGGTTTTTTCTGTATGAATGATGACTAATTAGACCTACATTACCATGGCTAATAAATTATTTATAGAATATTTTACAGCTGTCAAGCTAGAGAATTAATAGCCTGAACAATTAGTACCCTACCGTCTACTAGCTGTACTTAATACAAAAACATCCAATACACGAAGCCATTAAAAAGCTAAAAAAGAAAGAAGTCCTGCAAGGAATAAAGAGCCTTGGAGTTCATCCTCGCCTTGAGGCTAAATTAAGTCATTGAGGAGAAAATGCAAATTTAATCACGCTGGACTTAATCTCCGACAGCGGTTTCAGCATGTAGGAGATATCTGAGAGAGAGCTGGCTAATGCAATCAGCTGATCCCAATCCAAGCACAAGCTTGAAGAGTGCTTTTAAGAATGTGCATGTCTCCCCCGTTTAAATATTCACTGCATTAAACTGCATGCGGGGGGGGGGCGACTCTTACTCCAGGGGGCTGGAGCAGCTCTGTGTGCTTCACACACCTTCACAGGAGGAGCGTGAGCTATGAGGGGGGCACAGATACAAGGCCTGGGGCAGGGTGCGCTCATCCACCATCATCCTCCACTGCCTCACATGAACAGGAGCAAAAGACGCTCCAACCATCTGGCTCCATCCCAGATGACTGGAAGCAGAGTCCATCGGTGCAGTGGAGCTCCACAGACGGCTTCTCCTTACATAATCAGCATTTTAACTAAGTCGTTTCCATTTCATGAAACATTAGACCTGTTTCACATCTTTCTATTTCTTTTTGACATCAATAAGGAAGTGTCTGCACAACTTCCTAAATACTGGAATTTTATTTAACCTTTCCTTTTAGGTTTAGTAAAACCTTAAGCAATTGGGAGCACATGGTCAGATTCTCCTAAATATTAGTAAAGTTTCATTAGACTGAAAGCTATATGAAAAAAAAAAAAAAAAAATATATATATATATATATATATATATATATATATATATATGGGCTGCAACTAACGATTCTTAGTTCAATTAAACGATTAATAACCGGAGCTCCAAAGGTCCTTTAAAGACGAATTAATGAAATCAAACCAGATGAAATTCAAACTTTTCCACTGAAGGAGTTCTGGATAGAGCATACTGTCACATCATTTTTTTTTTTTTATCTTAAATGTCCACTTGTCTAAATTTTTTTCTTTTTATTTATTTATATGTATAAAGAAAAACATTTAGAAAAGTCCACATTAGGTGGACCTTACACTTGTTATAAAGATTACAATCTGTTTCTTGTGCTTAGAGAAGTTGACAAACATTCAACCATCCACTGCAAAGATTTACTACAATTGAATGTAAATATTTAAGGAATTAAAATTCAGTTAAACCTAAACAGAACAAACAAACTATGATCACTTAACAAAAAAAGGACTTAATTGACTTTTTTGAGAGGGTTAAAGCATATTTGGCTATAAAGCGAAAGAAAAAGTCAAACTTTTTTCTTCTTTAACACTAAACAGCATCACTTACCCCTAAAGATAAAGCCTTAGTGGCTGCAGCGTCCAGACATGCATCAGGCTGCTGTTCACATCTACAGTGGGGTTTTTTTTTCCAAACGTGTTATTACCTCAGTTTAAATCCTAGTCTTTTGTAAATTCAAAAAACCTTTTCAACATGTAAATGATATTAAGTGAAGAAGGGAGAACAATTAAATCAGCCTTTATGTTGGTGTCCTGGAGCTTCTGCCATGCTTTTATAAGGTTTACAAATGATGTCATTGTACAAAAGCATCAGTCTGGAGAAAAGTATAAAGAGATCAGAAAGAAATAAGACATGAACAGGGATAGAGCGATGGCAGCCATTAATAACTGAAGACAACAGGAGCAGCATAGAGAAATGGGTATTTCTTTTAAAAAATACAAATGGAAGACTCAAACTGGTCTGGAAGGCTGCAAAAAGATCAACACTTTTGCTAAAGCTACAGGAATTTCCAAACAGCAATAATTATTATTTTTCCGTGTTATGTCAGTCTCCTGTATTCTCCTGATTTTTAGAGAAAGGGACGCAGGATGCAACAATGTCTGTTAGTCTCCAAAAGAAATGGTCAAAGTGATCAGAAATCAAGCAAGCTTTGTCAAAGAATGCACTCTGGACCAATCAAAGTAAAGATGAACCTTTGAACCACTTCATCATCAGGGATGTTTTTTGGTCCAAAAGCAAAACTGACTATGATTTTTTTTAAAAGGAACTAACCTAGAGTGAAAAATGTTTTAGTATCACCGTCTAGGCCTGTTTTTTTATTTTCCCTCAAGGTGGATGAAAATGATCAATTATAAATAGCAGCAGGTTTTCATCCAAAACCTTTGGATGTCTGCTGGAAAGCTGCCACTGCAGAGTGTTTTCAGCATCACCCAGCAAACCTCTGAATCTACAAAGATGACTTTCCTAGAAGAAATGTTACAATTGAAAGGCTAAGTATGACTCCTGGAAAAGAAAATCTCTAAGGTCACCTTTAAGGGGCTGCAGATCAACTGTTTTCACAGTCGGATCAATTTACCAAACTTTTCCCAGGTCGGGTGGGCAAATGGTACCAATGTTCTTTTCTTTAAACTCAGCAACATTTATATAGGCTAAGTGCTACAACTATTGAAAGCATAATATCAAGCCTGCTGGTGTTTCTGCACTGGAGCCACATCAAGGCCGTGACCATAACCGCGCTTCAGCTTTAGTAAACAAAGGACAGAGGTCATAACTTATGCATTCAATTCAGTTTAAATTCATTTTATCCATAAAATGCTTATGAACAATTAACGTAGTCTGAAAATGTATACAAATATTTAACACTGCTGTCAAGTTATGTTAATTTTTCAAATTAACTGAAAGTTTTAAGGGAAACCAAGTAGATTGCATCGACTTGGCAACTTGCAGCAATCTCTCTTCCTGGATAAGCATGTGGCGACAGTAGGAGTGAGTATTGCAAAGGGTGCTGCTATACAGCACGCACCACAACACTTTGGTTACATTACCATATAATCCATGATATTCCAATACCATTACATATATTGTTATAATCTACCAGGCTAATATCAAAATTAAATGTAGAGATGAAAAAGCAAGTAAAATCAATTATAAACATGTAGAGACTTTGAAATAGTGTCTGGAAGCACAGAATAACAGGCCAGAAAACACATTTAATGTTTGGGGGATTTTTCTTCTACAAGCAGCGTGTTTATTTAAAAAAAAAAAAAAAAAAAGCTTCAACTTTTATAGAAAAATATCATGCTCTGTTCTTAAAAAGGAAAGAAATGTATGTTTGTGTTTAATATCTAACATTAAATTATCTATTTTAATATATATATATATATATATATATATATATATATATATATATATATGCATCCTCTTTTTGCACTTACAGTTCTAGCCACTAGGTGGCGTGTATGCATTTTACACGGTACTGTAAAGTTTGTGTTTGAGTTGTTAGTAAAGTGAGAATAAAGATGATGTTGAAACAAACCCTTTTCCTGATCTTCTGGGCATCATAACGGATCTGAGCAAACTCCCGCAAACCGAAGGAGCCGCCGACGACCAGCAGCTGAAAACAAGACAAAATAAAGAACAAAAAATAAAAACAAACATGGATTTTCTAAGATAAAGAGGAAGATATGTCAACTGGGAGAACAGTGAAACAAGATGCTGCATTAAAGTACATTATTAAAACAAAAACAATTGAACTGTTGTTTTCAGGTAAAAGGTTTAGTATGTAAATGTTATTTTCCGCATTTCAATATGACAATCTAGTCATTTTGTTGGCCCCGAAACTAAAATATTTATGGCCATTAATAGCTGCTTTTAATTTTCAAAATGGAATATTAATGAAGCAAATCAAACGATTGTATTCAATGTTTGTTCATTTAACAGCGGCTAACAGATCAGACAAGACAAGGCGTTGAAATACAATAATGTCGAAATAAAATTAGAAAAATTATGTCTAAACATCTGTTATAATAAACGTGTTTTTAGGTAAGTAACCGATATAAGGCTAAATATAAAGCCAAACCTCTACTAATCCCTTCAGGTGCATAAAGACGTTTAATGTAAGATTTTTCTTACAAGCATAGGAACTCCATACTTGATTGTTTTGTTTCTCTGCAGTGAATTTAAATTAAACATGATTTCTTTCTCCTGCTACATGTCCTTCTGTTATTCTACGGTTAGCAAACAGCTTACGGCTGAGCAGGAAGTGTTCCTTCATCTGTCCGACACGCTAAACGTTCCGGCTAGAAACGAGATCTCTATCAGCCGTTCCTATGTTTTGAGTTATTTGGATATCTAAATCAGTTTGAAAGCCGCCAAAGTAAAACTGCTTCACAAACACTTTATATAGCTATTATTTTTTTAAATATGCATGAAAACAATTTCTTATTGTGAATTTTTTTATTTTTCGCCAAAATGAAAAGTTTAATTCCAAGTACGTAGAAGTAAACTTTGTCACATTAATCCAAGTTACAAATATTAACCTCAGTCTATTTTATTTATTTAAAGAACTATAATTCAGAATTGTGTAGAGGAAGAAAAATGATTGTGGTTCAAAATCATAAAAAAAAATCAACAATAAAATCTATTATTGCTAGTTTTCTTCTCTGAAGAAAAAAGTGCCAGCTTTCAGATTAAAGGGGAAATCTCTGAGCATTACTTTTGCAAATATTGCCTCAAATTCTCAGTTGTGTTTGATTTTTTTAAATGCATGTGGAGAAAGTAACCCAGTTCCAGATTAGTTCTGGTTTAACCTATGTTGTGAAATAAGAATCAGATTAGAATTTTTTGGGGGAAAAAATCACCTGAAACAATAAAAAAAAAAATGCAAATTTATGATCTGTAACTGAGGAAAAAATTACCTCCATTTGTTTTAATCATACATTAACAGATTGTGTTACTTTTTTTTGAGAAAGTTGAGCTCAAACTTGCAATCCAAAAAGAATAAAAGACCTTTAAAAAAGAAGCACCTCTATGAAAGTACTTTGTAACCTGTTAAAAGTAAAGTGATTTTTAAGATGTTGGAATGCCATCAAACCAAAGTGAGACGTTATCTAAATGTGGAAAAACATGCGGCAATAGTGAACTTTCCTACTGGTCAGTAAACTAGAATTACTTGCACATAAAATCTTCTATATTTCCTCAGAAATGTGTTTTTATAAGCTGACCTTTTCCATTGACCTTTTCCTTTTCCAGTGAACATTCAACGGGTCAATCAGATGATGGATGTGATAAAGTTTCAACATGGTGAAGTTAAAGATTCGTTGCCAGGTATTGTAAACTCTTGACGTTATTTAGGGAGGAAATCCACTTTTTTATTGCTACATGTAGCAATTGAAATGGATATATAAAAGCTACTTTAGTACTTAGGTTATCTTAATCCGTTATTATTATTGTTTTAGGGCAAGCCAAGCAAATGCCCATCCCCACCATCGCTGTGCATATTTCATCCCATCTTCTTAAAAACTCTGAACAGCAAAAAGGTCCATGCAAAGGAAAATAATCCCCACAGCATAAAGCTGCCAGTGGCGTGTTTCTCCATGAAAAATGTGGTGATGTAGTCTATAAATGTGGCTAAATGCATACCAGTTTTCATATATATATACATATATATAATTTACCTTTCCCTTTACAGTCACTCTCTACTTGGTGTTGGGCAATCAAAAACCTCTATGACAAGCCATTATGGTTTTAATATGACACCAGTTAAATGTATTGCCTGCTTTGGGGCAGAGAATTTGCTTAACAATGTTAGAAATGTCAAATTTGTGTGGAAAGTGAGAGATATTGTTATACATCATAAAATCAAACCTGAGAGATTTGAGAAAGAGCAGATGGAAATGTTTATACAAAAGGTGGCATTTGCCTTTTAATCAGTGTCACCTTTTTTCGTCTCACCTGTAACCATTAAAGTTCTCATAGGTTTTAATCATGTACAGGAATTTATAAGAATTCTTTTCCCTTTAGATTTTTTTTATAAAGTGACTATATTAGATTTAATATGTTCTATTTGAAATTTGTTTAACGGATAAAAAGCTTGAATTCTACAGTGAAATTATGAATTGTTAATTAAATAAAACATCTAGAAAGTGTTCTTTAGTCTCTATGTACTTTCCTGAGCGTGTAGAGAAGAATTGTTAAAAGCATGATTGAAAAGGTCACAAACCATATCAGGGACACATGCAGACATGGGGAAGAAGGTACTCTGCTCAGATGTGACTATAGGTGTTCCAACTAACCCTGAATATCCTCATTAACACACCATTCCCATCATGACTCATGTTATTAGCAGCATAGAGATACCTTGACACTTAAAAAGAAAAAAACTCTTCATGAGAGACATCATGGGGGCTCCTCTTCCCTCCATTAAAGTCAATTCATCCCAGCCCTGCGTGTCCCGAGCGCGTGACATCATCAATGACCCCTCACCCCTGCATTCAATGCAGGTCCAGCAGCAGCTTTTTCCCTGCTGCCATCAGACTGTTGAACTGTTTGAAACTAATCAACTTCTCACAATTAAAAAACATATTTGCACTACCAACATGGCTTTTTTCCATAATCCCTTTAAATATAACTCAACATTCTACTGCATTTTGTACCATATTTATTTATTTTGCACTACACTAAACCTTTCCATACCAATGCCTTTTGCACCATGACTTTCAAACTATTTTTTCTTTTCTTCTTTTAGTTTACTTTCTAATCACCGCTGCGCTTTATAAATGGTAAAGTTCATTTCACTGCTGTAAGCTTCTCATTCATTTTTGAAAGCTTTACATATTGAAATTTATCTTTGTATACCCTGTGTGTACAAAATGACAATAAAGTTTGTTTAAGTCTAAACCTGGTTGGAGTTTATCCAGTTATATATGTGGGGATATTTCATAACAAACATTCTTTACTAAAAAAAAAAAAAAAAAAAAAATCCATTCACACTGACAAAGGTAAAGCTATTCACAAGAAAAACGACATGCAGGAGACATACAGGTGCTGGTCATAAAATTAGAATATCATGAAAAAGTAGATTGATTTCAGTAATTCCATTTAAAAAGTGAAACTTGTATATTATATTCATACATTACATACAAACTCATATATTTCAGATGTTTATTTTGTTTAATTTTGATGATTACAAACGACAACAAATGAAAATCTCAAATTCATCATATCAGAAAATTAGAATATTGTGAAAAGGTTCAAAATTGATGGCCCCTGGTGCCACACTCTAATCAGCTAATTAACTCAAACCACCTGCAAAAGCCTTTAAATGGTCTTTCAGTCTAGTTCTATAGGCTACACAATCATGGGGAAGACTGCTGACTTGACAGTTGTCCAAAAGACGACCATCGACACCTTGCACAAGGAGGGCAAGACACAAAAGGTCATCGCTAAAGAGGCTGGCTGTTCACAGAGCTCAGTGTCCAAGCACATTAATAGAGAGGCGAAGGGAAGGAAAAGATGTGGTCGAAAAAAGTGTACAAGCAAGAGAGATAACCGCACCCTGGAGAGGATTGTGAAACAAAACCCATTCAAAAATGTGGGGGAGATTCACAAAGAGTGGACTGCAGCTGGAGTGAGTGCTTCAAGAACCACCACACACAGACGTATGAAAGACATGGGTTTCTGCTGTCGCATTCCTTGTGTCAAGCCACTCTTGAACCACAGACAGCGTCAGAAGCGTCTTGCCTGGGCTAAAGAGAAACAGGACTGGACTGCTGGTGAGTGGTCCAAAGTCATGTTCTCTGATGAAAGTAAATTTTGCATTTCCTTTGGAAATCAAGGTCCCAGAGTCTGGAGGAAAAGAAGAGAGGCACTTCATCCACGTTGCTTGAAGTCCAGTGTAAAGTTTCCACAGTCAGTGATGGTTTGGGGTGCCATGTCATCTGCTGGTGTTGGTCCATTGTGTTTTCTGAGGTCCAGGGTCAACGCAGCCACATACCAGGAAGTTTTAGAGCACTTCATGCTTCCTGCAGCTGACCAACTTTTTGGAGATGCAGATTTCATTTTCCAACAGGACTTGGCACCTGCACACAGTGCCAAAGCTACCAGTACCTGGTTGAAGGACCATGGTATCCCTGTTCTTAATTGGCCAGCAAACTCTCCTGACCTTAACCCCATAGAAAATCTATGGGGTATTGTGAAGAAGAAGATGCAATACACCAGACCCAACAATTCAGAAGAGCTAAAAGCCACTATTAGAGCAACCTGGGCTATCATAACACCTGAGCAGTGCCACAGACTGATCGACTCCATGCCACGCCGCATTGCTGCAGTAATACAGGCCAAAGGAGGCCCAACTAAATACTGAGTGCTGTACATGCTCATACTTTTCATGTTCATACTTTTCAGTTGGCCAACATTTCTATAAATCCTTTGTTTTTATTGGTCTTCAGCAATATTCTAATTTTCTGATATGATGAATTTGAGATTTTCATTTGTTGTCATTTGTAATCATCAAAATTAAACAAAATAAACATCTGAAATATATGAGTTTGTATGTAATGTATGAATATAATATACAAGTTTCACTTTTTAAATGGAATTACTGAAATCAATCTACTTTTTCATGATATTCTAATTTTATGACCAGCACCTGTATGGACCCAAAACCACCTGCAGCTCAGGAATCTAAAAAGCACCAAATACAAATGCAGCCAATTCCAGATTATTTTTAAAATCTTTGAGGAAATGACATCTTTTCTTCCCATTAACAATTGTAGCTACTATTCGATAGGCTGAGACACATAATAAAACACACACACTGAAGGCCTCGGCTGAAACTGCTGCTTAAACGGGATGAATACTTTTACAGAAAGCTGTAGACATTATAGTCTTTGGTCTCAATATGGTTTCTTTAACAGAACACACACACACACACGCACGCATACTCGTTCTGCTATACGTAGTGAGGACCATGTGTTGCCTTCCATTGATTTTCAGTCATTTTCAACCCTTTCTTTGCCCTAACCCTAAAACTAACCCTAAACCTAACCATTAGCAATGCATACCCAACCCCAATCCAGCGACACCTTAGCCCTAAACCTAACCATTAGCAAAATAGCATATGAGGCAAAATGTCCTCACTTTGCAACAACTGGTCCTCAATCAGATGGTGAAATTGGAAAAATGATCCTGACTCTGAGGGCTAGACAGGTACACCCCAACACACACACACACCCATGTTGTGTCACAATATCCTTGTGGGGACCTTCCATTGACTTCCATTCATTTCCCACTAATCTATATGGCCTAACCGTGACCCTTGCCCTAACCCTAACCATTACCGACACATACCTATCCCTAACCTAAACTCAATTCACACCTTAGTCCTAAACCTAACCCCCACCCCCAGAAGAGAAACTTTCCTTATGGGGACCAGTTGTTGGTCCCCATAAGTACCTATGAGTCCCCGAAATGTAGCATATTCCTAGGAAATTGTCCCCACCAGTTATTAAAGACATGGCCACACATTACACACACACATACTCTACACGAAAAATTGACGACAGACTTTTTTTTTTTTTTTTTTCTTTATTACAATTTTTTTCTCTTATTTCCACCAGGTGAAGAAAAATACTTTTTTGTTCAGTATAATAAAATATGTTAACTTTATTCATTTTTCTGAAGAAAATCAATGACGAGGGAAAAAAAAAAATAAACGCATTGCATCTCTCCCTCTTTGTAAACCTGGAGAGTCACTGCTTTGCATGGAAAAGCAAGCAACAGAGAGAGCAAGGGAGGTGTGAAGAAGCTGGTAGGGGAAGCATGAGGACACAGAACATACGGACAAAAAGATAAGGCTTGGAAAATACAAAATAAAATAAAATAAAATGAGCACAGCTGGACAGGAGAGTGGTGATGGTCGGAGCACGTGGCGGTGAACAGAGCGGGGAAGGGTGGATCCGGGGCAGGACGGGTGACAGAGTGTTCAGAGGTCGCTCTCTCCATATAGAGCCGTGGAGAAGGACATGTAGTCGAGGGCCCCGGGCACCGCGTCAGGGCCGGTGTAAGGGGCCATGCGGGCGATGCAGTAATCGGCCTGGTCCGGAGGCAGCTCTCGGCGCAGCTCGTCAGCTAAGATATAGTTCTGCAGAGAGTCCACAATACAAGTTTTAGTTTCGTTATGACAGCTGTAGCAAAGCAACGCAGCGGAGTAAATGAAGACAAGAAAATCAGATCCAGAGGCAAACATTTGGTTATAACTGTGTCATCCATCTATAAAGTGTTATCAAATATAGTATTAATACCAACACTCTGATAACAGCGGATGAAATCTAATGCAACCAAAGGCCTCCTGTGTCCACAATCTAATCCAAGTTTGAGTTCTTTTTAAGGCTGAAATAATTAATTGGATTAATTGTGATTAATCAATTATCAAAATAATTGTCAACTAATTTAGTAATTGATTAATCGTTAACTAGAGCATAGAGACTCTAAAACCTGCCTTTAGCTGACAGATCGACCCACTTACAGCAGTAATTATACTAAGATTGTAAAAAATATTGAAACATTTTGTATTTAAGATTAAAAAAATGTTTTCTGACAATATGCTCTATTCAGAATTCCTCAAGTGGAAAAGTTTCAGTTTCGCCAGGTTTAATTTAGTAAAATATCTTCTTTAAAGAACCTTTTTTTATACGATTATTAATCGATTAATTGAAAAAAATAATCAACAGACTGATCGATTTGCAAAATAATCATTAGTTGTTTTTACATTAAGATTGTGCATAATTAGAGTATCGAAAGTCCCCAAAGACTTGTTATTTAACAGATTATTTCTCTATAAATAAACCATGACTCATTTCTCAGGTAGCTTAAAAAAAAACAAATATTAAGAAGGGACTTTTTTTTTTTAAGTACTGTGTTTAGTTTTTTCCTACGGTGCTGCAGAGAAGTCTCGGTTATTTATTGAAACTGCAGGTTTATTTTGTGTTTTTTAACCAGATCAGCGATGCCGTACCTTGTCCCCAGCAAGAACCTTGAAGGACGCCATGACCTGGTCCGCCGTGTCCGTGTCGGCCGTCTCACGGGACATGAAGTCTATGAAGGCCTGGAAGGTGACGATGCCCATTCTGTTGGGATCCACTACGCTCATGATGCGGGAGAACTCGTTTTCCCCCTGGTGGCCAGAGAGAGGTTGCAGTCAACAACCTAACACACCCATTGTAATCAAAGGCACAAGATAGCTAAACATTCACACATTGAAGAGATTTTCATGCATTTAAAAAAACAAAAACTAAACATCTGATCCAAACAGCGTGAGATTGCCCATCTTTTATCGTTTTAAATCTCATTTCATTAACATCTGTTACCAACTCCAAGCGGTCTGGGCACATACAAACACGTTCATACTTGAAGAGAGCTCGTGGCTTTACCAGGTTGTAACCCATGGAGATAAGGCAGGTTTTGAAGTCCTCTGCATCCATGATTCCTGTTCTCTTCTACAAGGTCAGTGACAGACAAACAAAACCAACAGGAGAGGAGAAACACAGAAGAGGCAGGAGGAAAGGAAAGAACGGGAAATCAGGAGGAGAAGAAAGGTTTAGTGAAAAGATTTTAAGCAAGAAATCCACAACAATGCATGTTGTGAAAGTTGCAAGGAGTGGAAAATAATGAAGAAGGTAAGGAACGGAAAAGTAAAGGGAAGAAAATAGATGGAGGGATAAAAGAAGAAAGTACAAGAGAGGAAAAAAACACAAAGAAAAAAAAGCATCAGTTAAACCCTTACTGAGGGAGTGTGGCTACGGTAGAATACCTGCGCGTCGTTGGCGATATCGAAGCCCAGGCTGATCAGGCAGGCCTTGAACTCCTCTGCGCCTAGAGTGCCCGAGTGGTCCTGTGGTGTGTGGAGGCATCGTGGGGGGGCACAGGCCATGCAGCAACACATACAGCCCAATCAGTGATGGCGAGGGACGGGGGAGCGTGGAGGAGGGTGAGGTGGATGGAGGAGGGTGGTGTAGGAAGTGCATCATGCACAGGGAGGAGGAAAAGAAGGTGAAGGTGAAGGGAGAGGGCCATGCATAAGAGACAGGAAACAGAGAACACAGTGCATCTGGATTAGGACCGGGCAGGTGAACACATGGTGGCAGCTGGGCTGCCATGCTGGGGGAGGCATTCAGAGGCGTTAATGTGCAGTGGGCAGGCAGATTAAAGGGCCTCTAGTTGGGCTTATTCATGTCCTCAAATTCACATAAGTATGGCAGCAAACTCTGCGAGCTAAAAAAGGAAAATATTGTTCTTTTTTTTCTATAAAACAGAGACACCAAAAAAAACAGCTCTAAAGAGAAGCTAACATTTTAATTTCAGTGTATGTAAACAGAGTATGGAATATTCAAGTTAATGCTCCTTAATTTACTTTAAATTTGCTTCACAAGATAAATAAATAAATAAATAAATAAATAAGGAATCTAAATGATCAGCCTTCATGGAAAAAGTTAATCCGATTTTTAAACACTGGAGCAGATCTTCGTCCTCAAAGGAGAGCAAAGCTGGTTGTGTTGTCTGATCCTGGAATAATGGAGTTTGGTCTAACGATGATCAGATTAATGAGTTTAGTTAAAGAATTGAGTCTGAATTCTCCTTTAACCCATAACCTTCATCATGCCAGGTACGAGATAAATAGATAGAGCAGGAGATATTATGTAATTTAAATCCATTTATCGTCCCAGATCAGGGAAATTCATTCTCTGCTTCCTAACCCATCCTGTTGGGGAGCAGTGTGGGGTTAAGGGTCTTGCTCAGGAACCCAGAGTGCAGGCTGTGGGGATCCAACCGGCTACTTGCAACCCTCTCAGAGCAGAAGCTGCTCTAACCACTAGGCCAACACTCCCAGTCACTTGAAGTAACTTGGAACACTGGAAGTTTAGATATCAGGGTTCCTACAGCATAAGGCGAGTTAAATTCAAGACTTTTTAATGCCACTTGAAATAAAAATTTAAGACCAAATTCACAACAAGAAAAACCTGCTTGCGACGACTTAACCCAAAGGTTTATTTTAACATAAACCACTGCACTAATGTTTCAAATGTTGAAAAGCTTCCCATACAGGAAGAAAGCTAAAAACACACAAATGACAGATATATTTTAACAATTATTTAACTGAATTCACAAACTTTGTTTTAGCAGGGAACAAAACTAATCAGTTTTAAAGCCCCAACATAACCAGTGCTAAGTCTTTTTAGCAGCTATTTTTCTTTGTATGGTTTTCTTAGTCTGTTTGATTTGGTGATAAGTGGAGGCGTTGCAGAGACAAGGGTGGAACTAAACTGAGAAATACCGGCTGTTTCTCTGTAACTCCATTTTGACGCTTTGTATTTCGTGCTTCGCATGTGCGACTCCACTGCCTTAATTCCCATCGTTCTGAGCTTGAATGACTTCTTGCACTAAATCCACTGAGCCTCATGGATGTTCCCTGGTTTTAGCCGTGGAGGAAACTCTTGGCTGGAGACAATTTTGGTTACATTTACACTTGATTATATTTTCCAGATAAAAAGTTAAAGGTGCATCTCCCAAATGTCCCGGCCGCAACAACGCTTTATTGGTTCCGCTATCGGGACGGAATTTTATTTTTTTTTTTTTATAATAAAAAAAAATTGCCAATTTTAATGTTTTATTTAGATTACAAAAATGAATCGTAATAAAAATAATCCTGTTTATGATGTTTTAAACATTAAGACCTACGAAAGACTGACTTAAGAAATTTTAATACCAATTAAGGCCTTAGTTTTATTTTGAAGGATTCAATGCCTTTTAAGACTTTTTAAGGACCCGCGGGAACCCTGGATAGAAGGTAGCTGAAAATCTCCATTCTGCCAGTTTCACTTATTGTTTGTGTACTTTTGTAGGATCCTTTCTGTTCTGTGACTTGGGGAAAAAAATGACGTATTGGATGGATTGTGGCAAATCAAAATGAATGCTCCTGATTTTCCAGCTAACTGAAGCGCTCAGCCTCAGCTACGGTCAGGAGGTCTGGATCAATCGCTTCAAGGCTGAGGTTCTACAAACAGGTTAACATTTTGCTTTAAGACATTTAAACTTTATATTAAATATCCACTGATTTGTTCTTTATTACTCGTTACTGTAGTCTTTTTTTTTCATGAGCTTTTAATCTGGATGATATTTAGATGACAAATAAAACATTTTTGAGGACTTTATCCTACAGGTGCTGGTCATAAAATTAGAATATCATGAAAAAGTAGATTGATTTCAGTAATTCCATTTAAAAAGTGAAACTTGTATATTATATTCATACATTACATACAAACTCATATATTTCAGATGTTTATTTGGTTTAATTTTGATGATTACAAATGACAACAAATGAAAATCTCAAATTCATCATATCAGAAAATTAGAATATTACTGAAGACCAATAAAAACAAAGGATTTATAGAAATGTTGGCCAACTGAAAAGTATGAACATGAAAAGTATGAGCATGTACAGCACTCAGTATTTAGTTGGGCCTCCTTTGGCCTGTATTACTGCAGCAATGCGGCGTGGCATGGAGTCGATCAGTCTGTGGCACTGCTCAGGTGTTATGATAGCCCAGGTTGCTCTAATAGTGGCTTTTAGCTCTTCTGAATTGTTGGGTCTGGTGTATTGCATCTTCTTCTTCACAATACCCCATAGATTTTCTATGGGGTTAAGGTCAGGAGAGTTTGCTGGCCAATTAAGAACAGGGATACCATGGTCCTTCAACCAGGTACTGGTAGCTTTGGCACTGTGTGCAGGTGCCAAGTCCTGTTGGAAAATGAAATCTGCATCTCCAAAAAGTTGGTCAGCTGCAGGAAGCATGAAGTGCTCTAAAACTTCCTGGTATGTGGCTGCGTTGACCCTGGACCTCAGAAAACACAATGGACCAACACCAGCAGATGACATGGCACCCCAAACCATCACTGACTGTGGAAACTTTACACTGGACTTCAAGCAACGTGGATGAAGTGCCTCTCTTCTTTTCCTCCAGACTCTGGGACCTTGATTTCCAAAGGAAATGCAAAATTTACTTTCATCAGAGAACATGACTTTGGACCACTCACCAGCAGTCCAGTCCTGTTTCTCTTTAGACGCTTCTGACGCTGTCTGTGGTTCAAGAGTGGCTTGACACAAGGAATGCGACAGCAGAAACCCATGTCTTTCATACGTCTGTGTGTGGTGGTTCTTGAAGCACTCACTCCAGCTGCAGTCCACTCTTTGTGAATCTCCCCCACATTTTTGAATGGGTTTTGTTTCACAATCCTCTCCAGGGTGCGGTTATCTCTCTTGCTTGTACACTTTTTTCGACCACATCTTTTCCTTCCCTTCGCCTCTCTATTAATGTGCTTGGACACTGAGCTCTGTGAACAGCCAGCCTCTTTAGCGATGACCTTTTGTGTCTTGCCCTCCTTGTGCAAGGTGTCGATGGTCGTCTTTTGGACAACTGTCAAGTCAGCAGTCTTCCCCATGATTGTGTAGCCTATAGAACTAGACTGAAAGACCATTTAAAGGCTTTTGCAGGTGGTTTGAGTTAATTAGCTGATTAGAGTGTGGCACCAGGGGCCATCAATTTTGAACCTTTTCACAATATTCTAATTTTCTGATATGATGAATTTGAGATTTTCATTTGTTGTCATTTGTAATAATCAAAATTAAACAAAATAAACATCTGAAATATATGAGTTTGTATGTAATGTATGAATATAATATACAAGTTTCACTTTTTAAATGGAATTACTGAAATCAATCTACTTTTTCATGATATTCTAATTTTATGACCAGCACCTGTACATCCTCCCATCTGTGACCTTGGCTCCTCACATGGCTGTTTGGAGGTTATTTTGGGCACATCAGATGAGAAGCAGAGCGCGGCGACTAGATCGTGTTTCTGGTCTAGGGACCTTGGGATACCTTAGAGTGGCGAGAGGGATGTCTTGGTTTTCATGCTTTATCTGCCACCCTGTGACCTGATCCTGGAAGGATGGATGGGCGCTAAGAAAAAACTAGAGTTGGCAAATACTAATATATTGTGGTGTTTCAGATGCAGTCGCTCTAGAATTCAGCTGCAAAAAGTATCTACAAAAGGTGACTTAATATTCAGGAAAACATTCACAGAGAAATAATTAAGTTTTAAATGTCAGTAACCAAATACGTTTCTAATGTTTAAGTATCTGAGAATGACATGGTGCTTGCTCTAACCGTGTCCAAGTACTGACCCTGTCGAAGTGGTTGAAGGAGGCTCGGAACTCGTTCAGCTGGTCCTGGCTGATGCCCTTGGCGTCTCGTGTCAGGATCTGGTTCTCGATTTCATTGATGGTGCGGGCGATGGTGGTGAGTAGCTGCTCCCAGCCCACACGGATGTGCTGCACAAAGAGGACACAGATGATGAAGGGGTCTGAGAGGCTAGGATCCATATCAGCAGGGTATAACGCTACGTTCACAGCGCACAGGTCGAAGCAGCAGGTTAACTTGCAAAATCTATGGTTGATGCACATCGGAAAAAAAATGCATCAAAATGCGCTTCACAAACAGCAAAAAATAAAAATTAACTTTAGCTGCTGGATGCGCCTCATCAACCAATGAGAGAAGCTGATCTGGGAGCTGGCAGGGAGTCAGACGCAGCACTGCTGATGCAGAGCGCTATGATCACTCCTCTGAAACAGTTTATTAACGCCTAAATTAACTTCAAATGTAGAAACCTGCCGGCAGAATATGTTGGCTTTTATTATCCTGCTGCCTGCAGTTTGTAGCACAGACCTGAAAAACGCTAACATCTACTTCCAGCCGCCACCAACAGTAGCAGAACACCTCCAGCTGCTGCTGGGATTCCCAGTGACAGCACACCGCCAGTATGGGGGGGTCTGAGCGGCTCCAACAGTTAAATAATATTTTAATGCAGGATCATAATCTTGATGAACTGACTGTATGGACGATGTTTTCAGGTAGACTTTCTCACATAAAAATATATTAGAAGTAATTTTTACCCGCTGATCACAGCAAATAAAGCAAAGCTGCTCTCTGCCTTTGAACTCAGGCCAACAGAAGCATCAGATGCATCTGGACTCACTTTACTGGACGCGCTTCAGGAGAATCAAAGATGCTCTTGAGGCGCGTCCTACGTTAATGTGTATAAAAATGAAGCAGCAGGCACTTTTTTGCTGCCCAAAGCGTGTGTGGTGTGAACGTAGCATTAGCTATTTGACTGATTAGGGGCAGATATACATGATAAATCAAACTATAGTTCTATTTCTACTCCAGCTGTGCTTCCACTTCTCTCTCTGATTAGTTATATAGTAGGGATGGGATGTTAGATATACAACAAGTTCAACAAACTGAAACCTTTAATTGTGCATTGTGTTTAATGTGATAGACTAACAGAAAATAGCCTATAATGGTGAAGAAGAAGAAGAAGAAGAAGAAGAAAACTAATGCCATAATACATCACTTCAGTTTTGAATCCATAAAAAGGTCAAATGTTTTTTGGTGTTTTTGAATTTATTCTTCTTGAATCACCAATATCTGCTGCTTTAAGAATCGACCTCCAACAATTTTAATGCATCAAAACATTTATAATCTAGCTGTGGGTTAAGCGTTGTTCTGCTGAAGGGGAATATTTCACCCCAGTTTCATTTTTTTTCCAACCTCTAACAGGTTTTTGTTTTGCTTGATTCCTTTTCCCATAAAATATGATAAAATTCTCCCTCCCTACTAAACAGCACCCCCACAGCATAATCCTGCCGCTACCCTGTTTCACACTTTGGTTGTTATGTTTGGGGTGAGGGGTAGTGTCAACGTTTGCACCACACAGTTGTGCCAGTAGGCCTAAAAGTTCTAATTTGGTCTCCTCTCATCATAACCTCCTTTATGCGGCTCATTGCAGCGTCCACATGGGAAATTTTCTTCTTGCCATTTGCTAATTATGATGATATACGACACTTTATCCATCCATCCATCCATCCATCCATCCATCCATCCATCCATCCTGTTGTGTCAATCGTATACACCCCAAATTAAATATTACATATTCTGGTTAATCAATACCTTTCCACGGCACCAAATTCAGTTATAAAGTCACTTATTTTATATCAAGGAAAATAAGTTTGGATGCTTAATTAGTTCAAGCCTAAAAACCAGAATGTTTATGGGCCATTTTCTTCCTTCCAGTTCTCTGGAAGCTGGAGGTGAACAATAAGGTACAATAACCTGGATTTTAACTCCTTAAATAACCTAACCTGCACTATTGTGCTGCATGACAAACCTCAGCTCTCTGAAACATAATAAAACATAATAAAAAAAGAACTATTGCAGTAAACAAATACTAAAGTGGAAATAAGTATAAGGAAAACTTTAGTTTTTCCTTTTTTTGTGCGTTTACCTCCATTGTGTAGTTGGTGTGTTTGTTGTCAAAGATGAGAGCTTCCTGAATGAGCTGGTGGTCTCCCTCCAGCTGGTCGATCTTTGGCTTGTAGTTGATGATGCTCTTCTCGTACTGGCGAAGGTGCGTCAGTTGGTCCTCAAGGGTGCCGTGCATTTCGATTGAGATCCTGCCGATTTCCTGCCCAGACGCAAAAACGATGCAATAAATAATTAACCTGTATGGCTTTTTACATCATCAGCTAAAGATTCTTTCCTAAACACGTTTACTTTGTCATCAATCTGCAATAAAAAAAGAAGGTAATTGAGAGGTAAAGTTGGCAACCTCCATCTTGTTCTGGATCCAGGGCCCAATGACGTTGGCCTGTGTGGCAAACTGCCTGCGCAGACGCTCGTTGTTCTGCTGCCGGGCGTGTTCCTCGATCAGAGCCTGGTCGCGCTGAGGAACCAGCTGCCTCACCTGCAGATTATACGCCAATGATAGAAAAGCCAAAACGATTCATAAAAAGACAGAATAACTTCCTGCTTAGAATAAAAGATGGGTGATAAATCTCTCCATCTCATGTGAAAGAAGAAATGCCGTCACCTTGTCCCATTTAGCATTGATCTCCTGTGGGTTGATGGTTGTGTAGGGGTTGGTGCCAGCCATATTCACATGATAGGTCTGAACTATCTTGGCTATCTCATTGTGAATGCCCAAGATAGACTGCCGCTCTTTGTCGGCCTCTGGCAGTGTGGCTTTGAACTGCTCATGGGCTGTGCTCAGTCCCTGACAAAGGAAGGAGATACATGCAAATAAAATCTCTTAGTAAAAGAAAAGACTGTCTTCTAAACAAAAATTAAAGAAAATAAGTTCAAAACCCGTCAAGTTCAAGTTTGTCCAAATCTTCATCTCTAAGCTGAATCCAAGTCAACTAGAGTCTTTGTCGACTCCAAATCAGAAGCTGAACATCTTTGTACAAAGCCAGGAATCAATTGTGTCGCAGCTTCAAGTCGTACCTCAAACGTTTCAAGGTAAATTCCAAATTAACTCTGAAACTTTCACCTCAAGTCCAACTAAAACCCTAAAACGTTCCCCAATGTTGGGCCTCCATTCTGTGAGGCTGGGTCCAAATCAAGTCTTTCACAGTCTGATGAACACTTTTTATCTCTTGTTCACATTAAATAAGTTCTCATTTGTTTAAGCTCGGTTTCTTCTCCCTTGCTCACCTGGATTTCTTCAATTGTGTGAACAATGAAGGTGTCCTGCAGGTCCTCCATGGCGCCCTCCATCCAGTTGTTGAATGGAGCTGCTCTTTTGGCAAATTCAAGGTAAAGCTGGTCGATGGTTTCCAGCAGCTTCTCTGTTCTCTGTTGGACAATCAATTGTACAGATTTTAGCTGACACTGCCGTCTTTCATAAAGCTTCAAATAATTCCAACAATGCTTCATTTGTTTCCTATGAATCACCAGTTACACTCTGGTAGCGCTCTACAGATAAAATAAATGATCATCATCTAACTATGGTTGGTTAAAGCGCGAATGGGGAAACACCTTGGGCAGAAACGCCACAAATTGATATCAGAACCATTTGGATCCCATCAGAGACATGAGAGACTAAAAGAAAGGGCATGTAGCGTACCAACCCTCTCAGCTGAAACAACGGCTAACAAAAAGACAATCTTTTATGAGACCAACTTCAGGTCGCTTGCAGAAAAGGGTTTGAAAGAAGAAACAGCAGAATGTGTCCAAAACCAAAAGCAGATCCCAATCAGGCACTCGGGGAGCGAGTGGTGGACACATCCTAAAAACACCACGCAAAAAAAGGGAGACCAGACTATGGCCCCCACCGAATGGTCATCAACTGAAGCACGATGACATGAGATTGCTGCCACATACACCTAAACGATCGAAGCACCTGAGGGCCACGTGCACAGCACACAGCTGCAGGGTATTTACATGTTTGGTGAACTCTGATTGACCCCATAGACTGCAAACAGCTCTGAGTTGCCACACAGAGCCCCCAGTCTGTGGCATATGTGCTGACCACCTCTCTGTGACACACCACTACTTCCATGGGAAGACCCTTGAACAAGTAAGTCCTGTCTCGCTATGGGGCCAGGGCATGAAGGCGTATCAATGTCACTGTGAGGCTGCAAGGCCTGTGCAGGATGAGGTCCAGGAGAAAGCTATTGAGCAAACTTTGAAAAGGGCGCAGAGAGAGCAAACCCAGCGGCACAACACAGGTGACCAAAGTCAGTTCGCCTAGCATCTGCAGGAAGGTGACATAGGGACACCCCCCTGAATAGTAGGGGTGCAAATCACATCCATCATAGCAATTCGATTCAGTATCGATTTCCTGACCCAACGGTTCGATTATTTTAAATACTCTAGAATACACCACCATACGATTCGATTCGATTAATTGGTTCATTTTTTTTAAAAACCTTACAGGCTAGACAATGTTTCAAATTTGAAATAAATCAATGAAAGCTGTAATATCGTTATGCTTTTTATTTGAGAAATGAGAAAAAACAGCAAATAACAGAAGTAGAAAAGTTTTACTCATCCTATATCTATTTAAACCTCATTCACTGAAAAATAATAATGCCCCTGCGTTATAGATTCTGATAGGCCTTGCATCAAAAAATACTGCACAATATCAGTGCAATGAGTGCAATGCAATACCTCAGCTGTCAAATGGAAGGACCTTTAGCTACTGATGGAGTCGCCTCACATTCTTTGGCACAACAATAAATGTTGAGTAGTAGCATCTGTTGCCACATAGGGTCTACAGCCTCTATTGGGCCTTGATCAGGATGGAGGAAAGCTCCTTGTCCAGGACCTGGGACCCCTAAAGGGGATGCAGAGACCGTGGTCTGAGGGGGCGACCTGCCCAGAGGGGGGGAGGTCTGAATCATCATCAGGGCAAATCAGGGCCAACCGAGCCACCCTGAGTGCGTGGGGCACCAAACTGCAGGCCATGAAGGAATTTTCAGACACACACAAGGCAAGGCAGGAAGGCAGAAGGTCACATCCATCATCTGCATGAAGAGTCCATGACGCTGCACTCCACACAGGTATGGGAGGCATCCATGTCAAAGTTCACGGGGCTCAACCAATTCAGATAGGAATAGAAAATAGGCTGACAGCATACTGTACATTCCTTGCAAATCCTGTAAGATCAACCTGTTGCAGCCCAAGGAGGGTTGAAATGACCACGGCTCCAGCCAGAAGTGACATGGCGTCCAGCAACGAGGACCAAGGAAAAACTCAAAAGCTGATGCCATACCAGGCGAACGGCATGCGAGAGGAACAGAGCGCTGGATGATTGCAGCATATATAGCCTCTGAGTGGTCATCCAGCGTGTCACAGGTGCGACTCTGTGCAGTTTGAGTAATTATATCAACAAAGTGAACATTCAGTGGTTACAGCAGCACCCTCTGGTGGTCAGTAGGCAGAAATAGAAAACCAACCTTTAATGACTTTCAGGCCAGCAGGGATTAAAACTACGTATATCTTTAGACCTGGTATTTTCTAGCAGCAGAGTGAGTTATTTCAGAATAAAGAGACATTTAACTCAATATTTCCAGAACTTTTGTTCAGACAAGGTGATTCTCAGAAACCCGTCTGTCCTACATCACCTGCAGTGCCTCGGTGCGTTTCATGGTCATAGCTCCCAGTGCGTCCCACTGATCGCAGATCCGCTGGCAGCGAGCATTTACGCTGGGGGAGTCATAGTAGTCCAGCTCACTGCAAAACAAAAAGAAATGGATTTCTCCTCATATTCAGCACACAATAGCCTTTTATGCACATTGATCATTTTATTTCCATGTTCCCGCCTCCCTCGTTTATTAGATCTTACTTTAACTCCTGCGCAATAGCTGCAATTTGCTCGACACGATCCTGGTGAGCTGCCAGGTCGCTCTCAAAGGCCTCGTGTTTCTTCAGCAGAGCTTTGATCTCTGACAGGGAGGCAGTCTCGTAGTCCCGCTTCTGCAGCAATTCCTCTTTGCCTGCTCAGAAAACAGTCAATGAACCAAAAAAAATCCTTGAATTGAATATCTAAGGAAGTGAACTTTCTGCAGCACTTTTCAAGATCCGCTACCTTCGGTCCAGGCTTCGTGGATCGCCGCTTTCTGACGGAATTTTTCCGCCAGATGGTCGAGTCGCTCCAGCCGGCGAATCTCATTGAGAAGCCACTCTTCGTAGCCCTTTTCTGCTCCCTCTAGATTTCCCCAAGCGTTGTTGATGTCCTGCACAAAGCCCAATATTTAGAACCTTATGGGAAATAACTTTCTGCTTAATAATTGCAGAAACTCCTTTTAAATACATATTTTACAGAAAAACAAACCTGTTCTTAAAACAAATACCATTACTTAACGCTAAAATTAGATAATTTAGTTGTGATTTATATTTTACCAGCAGGCAGTAACCTGCCAGCTTCTTTAGTCAGTAATAAAAAGCTCCAATATCAAAAGCATATCAGAAATCCAACACCAGCTCACACCAATTACACTAAATCAGAAATCAATCTTTAAACAGTCAACATGTTAAAATTTGCTTATTTTCACAGACTGATTATATGTGAAAAGGAGATGCAGAGATGCACAAAGAACCACATTTCTCCAGTGATGGAAACACTTCACATGTTCTGATCTCAGTTGGAGTTTCTCACAGCCTGAATTAAAGCCCTTTACAGAATAAATTATCCTTCTGTTTCTGTATTTAACCAAATAAAATATGATGTCTAGGATTGTAGAATAACATTAGCAGTAACTCCTATAAAGGTTTTTAGACTGAACTTCTTTATTCAAGTTGCAGTCCTGTCGTAATTTTAATTATTAGCCAATGCTAACTGAAGATACTAACATTTATAGATTACTGGGAAGATATTCTCAGGATAAAATCACAAGTTCAAACAAATCTGTCGAGTATTTCTTCATCAGTGAAGAAAGTGGATCCATATTGCCCTCATTTTGGATCCAAATCATATTTTGATGGATTTAATGCTGGACAGCCAACAGAAGGTCGTTTAACCTTTATATCCCTTATTAATGCAGAGACAGTGAAGCAGAAAGAAATGCAGAAAAATATTTATAAGCTAAACTATTTTAAATTTTACATTGCTTTAATATTACACCACTATCGATGGGCTGACAGGCCCAAACAAAAAACATCACATCCAACAAATCATGGGCTGCATTCAGTACTGATGGTAGGTTGGTTCTGCACCATGGCAGCCCGCTGCTCCCCAAAGGGTTAAATGCACAATTAATGTCTCCATTGGGAGATTAATAAAGTTCAATTTATTTTGATCTAACATCAACTAAGACAGACTAAAGTTAGCCAGAGTTTAAGTCTCCTGTATGTGTTTAAACATGAGGTCAGAGGAAACATAGAAACTGAAGCTAAAAGGAGACTTTATTTACTACAACTAGTCGAGACACGTCTGCAGGTTATTTCGGCTGCAAGAAAGACAAACTTTCTGTAGATAATATTTAAGCTGCTGTTTTATGGTTTTAACCTTTGCCTGATGTGGACAGTTTTCCATGATCTAGGGAAAATATTTGTATAAACACATACAACTCTAATGTTGGCCAGCAAAGCACTAGTAAATGTTTATAAAAAATGTTTTGCACAGAACTTGATTGGCTCTCAAACAGAGAGGACTTTTAGCATTTTTGTATTTCATCCTTTCTAAAACTACTGGGACATACCGAGACCATCCTTCCCTCTGAGGGCATGAAGGCGGGCCGGTTGCTGAGCCTCAGTTTGGTCTGTAGGGTGTTGAAATTGATCTCCAGCTGGCATTTCTCCTGCACTTTGGGCGGCTTGTGGAGCCGGCGGTAATCCCTGAAGTCCTCCAGTTTCTGCTGCATCCCCTGCATGGTGTTCTCAGGCAATCGGTTTTCCAGCCAGGGGATGGTGCGACGGATCCACTCCAGCAGCTGAGGGGTCAATGGTTCGCTCATTAAACGATTGCAGGACAGAGATGGAGGATCAAGTTTAGAGAAGAATCAGTGTGAGCCGCGGTTCTTAGAGGATTGTAGTACAACCAATAAAATGAGGTGAGATTTATGTAGATGAGGGAAAACAACAGGAGAATTTGAACTTATGTCAGCTAATGTACATGTAAAAACATTTAACCATAATTTAAGTTTTTGCAAGTTCTATCACACAGTTTAAGATAGACTAAATCAGGGGTCTTCAACGTTTTCCAGGCCAAGGACCCCCAAATCGATGGTGAGATGGAGCAGGGACCCCCCAATTACAAATATTGTATGAAATAGTGTTCTATCAAACTGGTCCTATAGTCACTCTATTACAGATGGAGTAATGTAACTAAAGTAATCCCTCTCTGGGATTATTAAAGTATTTCTGATTCCTGGTTGATGGGACAGGTGTTGTGAATGAAACGGTGCCCAGCTTGAAAGAGCTCCTGTGTGTCACTAAATGTGTGCATTGATCATGGGCGGTTCTAGACAGGGGCCAACGAGGGCCAGTGCCCCTGTAGATCATGTCCTGGCCCCTGTTATGGCCCTTGTACTGAAGACATAATATTCAAAGAAATTCTAATGATGATCTGCGCTGGAACAGACATGATTACTTATAGGCCCTTGGGAACTATTTTATCTTTTTTCTATTCAAATTCTGTTTTACTAATTATTTAAAAACAATAAAGTTATAGCTTCAGTGGTGTTGAGATAGCGTCCCAGTTTTCATCTGCTAAATGTTATTTTTTTCAAAACAAATTCCTCTAATTTTTAATCGCAGAATTTATCAATTTTTCTCGAGTTCTAATTTAGATTTTAGAAAAAAAAACGTAATTTTAACCCAAATTAAGTCAAAAATATGTAAAATTTCAAATTTATGAACGTCTTTTGATCTAACAAGAAAAAGAATTTTAATAATTAAACCTAATTGAATAGAAATTTCATTTCATGCAGCTATCTTAATATATTTGAATCCCTTGCCCTGTTTTTTATTTTTTGCTTTTCTGGGCCCCCATGAAAACACGCTGGCCCCCTCGTGGCCCCCTCATACATTTGGTCTAGAACCGCCACTGGCAGTGATATCTGACAGACATCTTCTGCCCCCATTTATCTGTTTACTACAGAGTGATGAATTCATGTTAATGTGGATTTAAAGACATTTCATTTAGTGGAAAAAAAAGAAGTCTAATCAACCAAAACTTTCGTGACCCCCATGCAGTACCAACGAGGACCCCCTAGGGGTCAATCAATTTAAAAACCATTTCACTTTTTTTTTTTTTCTCACAGCGGCCCTAATCCTCTTCCGTAGATATCAGAGTAAAGCATCCCACACTTTTCTTATTTCAATGTGTATTTTATTTTATTTTTTTGCAGATTTTCTTCCTTTCCAGTCATCCACTACGAGATGCCTTTCTTTCATAGAATAATTCTAAATACATTAAAGATTGTTAAGCCTTTTGAAAGCCACTCTTTTAATAATAGTTTCTGTTCACTGATAGATTTGGAGAAGCTAAAGAAACTTATTCTACGGCAACTAAATCAGTTGAAACAGTTTAAAAATGTGCAATAAAAAAAAAGTTACGATTTTATATCAATCACCACGACGTTGTACCATTCAGACTTTGTCTGATTGGCTACATGTTTATTATCTGCATCTAAGTGAAGAAATGAGGGAAGAGGGATTTGCTCAGAGAGGGACACAAATAAGCGTTTCTGAGAAGATATCAGGGGCAAATAAAGAGAGAAAATGGGGGTTGCTCACGTCGCTGGCCAGCTTCTCATAGTCCTCCATCAGCTGCTCATTCTCCTGGTTAACAGCCAGCACCTTGCAGATCCTGTTGGCCGCCGTCTCTGCCTACAAGCCGAGGGTGAAGCAGAAACACTGTCAGTTACTGGGTTTAGAAAACCTGAGCCTCCATCTGCAGAATGCTCAGCAAAGTTAAACTGATACCATTTGTGTTTCCACATTTAGCTGCAGTGATTTATCCGCACCACCCACAGTCAATTCCCAAGAGTCACACAATTAAACAGCAAATGCCCTAAAACTGATAGAATGAGGAAAACTCTCAGTTTGTGTCTCATTAAGAATGTCTCCAAAAACTATTTCGATTTAATCGCCCGAGGCTGAATAAGCTGCTGGAAATAAGTTTAGAGGTCCCGGCATATAGAACATGTTACATCCTTCTGATTGAGAGATTTGGCTTAGGAAACTAAGGCAGAGATAAAGAAAAAAAAGTGGAATTGATCAAATTAACAATTAAAAAGAGTCTAAGCAAAACAATTGTTTTATTTAGATTTTAAAGTGGGAGAAAAACCACGTAAAAACCAAATAGTTTAAAAGCTGTCTGGATTTGCGTAGCGATTTGAGAGGAGCGGCTACAGCATCATGTTGCGTGAAGCTATTGATGTAACAGCAATCTCTAATGAGCAAAAATATGGGGATAGAGGAATGAAACAAATGCCTTTAATAATGAGGGGAAATTCAAAGCCAGTTCCTGCGGTCGGCTGCTCAAACAGTAGGAGGTATAGGAGGTTTGTTCTCTCCACTGTCACCGCATGCTTTACATGGATGAGGAAGTGCTGTCCAATCAATGACCTCATGCAACATTGTTCCACAAATCTTTATTATAGACGAGTAAATAAATTCAGGGTATGGAATGGATCAAACTTTATTGGATCTGATCGAAAATACATCGTTCATTGGATTGATTTCAACTTAATATAGAATCTATAGAACCTTATTTAATCCCTTAAAATGGTAATGATGGAAATTTAGAGCTAAATGAATAAACTGAATTGAATTTTGCAATGAGATGCAGGCATAGAGACATAAGCAGCAGTGAGATCAGCATGCAAAGTTTGGAAGGAAAGGAAGCTGGTGTGGCTGAGGAATGAAAGCTTCATGATCACATTCAAGTTCCGTCGTCTGCTTTAAAATAAAAGGAAACCAACTGGACCAAAAGAGGACATGGGCAGATAAACTACTTCAAAACTCCTCTAGCAGCGTTTCACAGCTCAGAGACCTGCGTCCCACATAAGGGGCTGCCTCTTTGGTCCAAACATCTGAGGGGAAACTTGGCAGAGGCAAAGATTCCCTCTCAGTGCTCAAAGGAGCTGCCTTAAAAGGGGAAGCCAGGTTGTGATTCTGTGTTTGTAAAAGTCTGGACCTCCTTTATGTTGCATTTTGTTCTGACATCAGAGTCAGCGGGCAGGAGACCAAAATAAGAACTGCTGTTTATTTAGGAAGCCGATACGCCTGTAAGTCCAAACTCAATGACAAATACATGGACATTCAAGAGGACATTAACAAATGCATGCAAGACTGAATTATTTCCCTTTTCTTAGAATTTAAAAATACATATTCTTACAGTGCTAAATGTTACCCAGACAACATAAAGCCTAAGTTCTCTAGTTTCAGCATAAAGCTGCATTACTTTATTCTAAAATGAGAATATGGATGTAAAGCAAACATTTTTAACATTACAAAACACAAAATTGAAAAAGAAATTCCCAAAACAGCCCTTAAAAATTTAAAAGAGTGCAACTTCAGGAAATGAAAACACTATTTAGTAAAAACACAATATGAGCCAATCCAATAATGCCAGTTGGATGGAGTTTATGGGGAAATTTCTGCCCAGCGGCAGCAAACTAAGGTGTCAGAGAGGAGGAGGAGGAGCGCCTCCTCCTCCTCCCTGTTTTTATGTGAAATCTATGCCAGCGCTGTAATTGAGTGTGGCAGCAAACAGCGGCATACAGATCCAGGCTTCTCAGGAGAGCCGCTTGTCCTATTAGGAGAAGGATCCCCAGAGAGAACAGGAGATGTAGCAGGATCCCCTGAGTGGTGATCAGCTTTTATTACTCTACAGAGATCCTAGGTGGATTCAGCCCGTCTTTGCTATAACGCTTTACAGGCTGGTTCTTTCAGCTACTGACAGAAACAGATAAGGGGTTATTAAAGGGGGGAAATTTCAACTAAAGCTGCTAAAGTTTAAACTTGCTCCCCAAGGGGGTTAAAAGCAGAGAGTTCATTTTGTTGCACCGTACTTGAGACATTGTAAAAGTTTTTAAAAAAATGAAATAACATAAAATTATAAGTTCATGAAGTCCCGCCACATGAGGCTGTAGGAACTTCATTTCCTAAAATAAAAAAATGTAACGACTTTAGGTTCTTATCGTAAACTCAAAGCAAACAGATTGGCCGTTTCGTTTTTACACTTTCTCCCTCCATCTCTCACTAAGCTGCAAAACACTAACTAGAGCATTGATTTATTGGTAATTTTCAGGGATTAAATGCATTTATCATGGGATTAGAAAACCCACAGGCTTTTTCCTCTGTAAGGTTCTTAAACTTTTGCAACTAGAATACAGCTCAGACCTCGTCCCAATTAGAAACTGAAGCTTTAACACAGATCTGCATTTTCACTTGCTTTTCTTCTGCTTGTTTGTGGTCGAAAATTTATTTTTATTGTTTTACAAATGTTTTTACTTTTATTTTTCTGAATTTATCCAATGCATGTAAAGCACTTTGAATCGTCCACGTACTGAATTCTGCTATGCAAATTAAATAGCCTTGCCTGCTAATAAAACCGAGCCAGTAAGGATTACTGTGTTCCTACATACTTTTATACCCTACTGTTCCAGTGTTTCTGGATTTTTATTTCTACAATTTTATGACATTTTGAGTACAGCTGGGCATAATGTGTAGGTTTCACAAATAATAAAATAAAACAAGTTCAGTATTTGGCCATTTTTCACCACCTCTGTGTCTGTCTAACTGGGATCAGTTCTAGAAGTTATAGATCTGGTCAAATAAAGGTGAACGCAGAATCCAGTCTGTTCACATTGGTAACTTTATTAAAACGCAGTTTTAGGCCCAGATTTAGGATAATAGATTCAAGTGAACTTTAATTTTAAGGTTTCTAGAAACCCACCATTAAACAAACAAACAAAAAAAACATCTTCTCTTCTTGTTAGCCTCAGTGCATTAACTCTGCAAGGCACTGCTGAGCAAAACATTTAAATCAAGGTTTAATTTAGCCATTCAAATATAAGACAAATTATATGAAAATATGAAAAAACTACCAATAAACTATTTATCAGGTGTGATATTTCATCTATTTCGAAAATGGGTAAAAAAGGAGCAGAAATGTCTGGAAAAATGGAAAATCAAACCCTGTAAAGCAACAGGACAGTAAAGCTCTGGCATGTTGAAATAGTCTGACTAATTAATCTGAATTAGTTCCCATTTCATTTTTAATTAAGGAAGTTACTTTTTAAATTATAATCCCACCCTAGAATAAAACATAAAAACAATCCATCAATAAAACTTGGAGAAAATAAAGAAATAAATATATACCTATCAGTCATGGCCACAATAGCTGCGTTCCAACATCTATAACTGCTTCGATTCAGCAACATAAAAACAACTGAAGCTGTATTGTTTGTGGCAACAGAGCTATATAATACACAGACTGTGTTCCTGTAAACTGGTTTAACAGGTATTTGACGACGGTCTTTCTTGGTTGTTTTGGTTTAATTCTCACCTTCTGTTTGCCTGAGAATGCGTGGTAGTAACATGACACATAAGTCATGACGGCCTTCTCATCTGGCCTCAAGGTGCTAATGATATCTGCCCAAAGAACAGAGGGAAGGGAGAGAGGACAGACAGGAGAAAAATGCAGAGTAAAAGTGTGCAGAGAACAAAAAGGAGCCAGCAGGGGGCGCAATTATGAGTCACAAGAGTCCTCCAGTCCACTTGAAGTAACCCCTTAAAAAACTGGATGGAGTAAAAGAGGCGGTGATTTTATAGGGACGTTTATGTCACTTAAAGCGACTCGGCCTGTTTTCAGAAACTCTGATCTGAAAAGTCTGACTCCTTCCAGATAAAATGTGCTTTTCTGCACTTGTTGATTATAAAGTTACTTTGTTTTTGTTGACTTGCTTAAAAACACTTGAACTGAAAAGACTGACGGGCCTCCAGGATGAACCGGCAGCACCAATCATGTTTATTAGATGAGCTGGAGGACAGACGCTGAATCTGGACGGTAAAATTAACTGGAAGTTAATTGTTTTGACTTGGAAATGCCAGTTTTCATTTCACTCAGTGACCCCCTCCCGATTTCAGCCGTCACTCTGAAGACTACACAGATCTGTCTGTCCCGTCTCTCTATGTCCTTATAACAATCAGTCTCCATCATTCCAATCAGAAGAGCTTCACTGAACCCAGAATGGAACCTGATTGAGGGGCCTTCAGCGGCGAAACCACAAGCTGGTCTGGAGGCACGCTTGTACTCGTTGCCCCTAACAACACAGATGTTGTCCCATCATGCATTTGTGGTGCGGTGAACCATGCGGAAAGTAAAGGAGCGCTGAGCACTGCAGAGAGAAGAGTTCTGTTAAGAGACACACACCCGCGCGCACACACACACACACACACACACACGCACACGCACACGCACACGCAGACAGGTGGGAAAAAAGGGGAGGTGGGAGATGAGGGTGAGGACTCTGCATCCAGGATACCTTTTGGGCGCCTGAGAAGGCGTGGTAGAAGCTAGAGACGTAGGTCATGATGGCCTTCTCATCCGGACGGGCAGTGCCCACAATGTCTGCGGGGGAGAGAGGAGGTCAGGGGTGGGGGGGTGATGTGGAGCATGAAGGGTCATGAAGGAGACAAAGTTGGTAAATCCAGTAGGCGGACGTAGAGCTCTTCACATAACTCGTGTTTGACTGAAGAACAAACGGGCCAGATGTGGATATCAGTCAACCTCTGCAGCCCTTTCACACAGAAACACCGATCCGTTCTCTGCAGCTCCTCACAAGAGCAAACCTTACTTGGAGATGCAGGATGACGTCAACGAGGCTTCATTTATTTGCACAAAAAGAAGTGCCTGTTTACATTCTGCAGAAAATAACCTCACTGTGTGCACAGCTGCAACATGGAACCCAAAAATACTCTTAAAGAAAGAGACAGGTTCTAAACACAGTTACTACAAAAATGTCCCTTTTTTTCCTTAAGTTTAGGCGTATTTTACGTAAAACACGCAACTGTAAAATGAAAATGAAAACAATTCATGTTTTGCAATATATTTTTCTAAAGGAAATTTAAAATAAATTGCCCTGCATTTGTATTCAACCCCTTGGACTCGAATAAATTAAATAAAGTCCAACATAAACTACTTTATTTAGAGATTGCAAGAGACAACCTGTCAACAGGCCTAAACTGTTTGCAGTTTACAAAAAGGCACCGATATTGCTATGTGTGATGGAAAAGCAACACCCTGGACACCCTACCTGCACTGTGGAACATGGGAGTGGCAGCATCATGCTATGGGGATGCTTTTCTTTAGCTGATCTGATCAAAGATACAATGCATGGAGCTAAATACAGGGAAGTCTAGGAAGACGACATGCTAGAGGCTCCAAAAGACGTTCCACTGGTGGAGGTTTACCTTCTAGCATCATAAAGACATCTACAGCTGCCACACTACGCTGAATTAGTTCAGATGAAAGCATGTATGTGGGGTAAAAATGGCTTCTTAATTTAAGACTTCAATCGTTATAAGATTGGATGACAGGACTTGAAAAGCTGTTGACATAAAATCCAAGAAAATATACTAAAGTTAACGGTTAAAATATGATAACATGTAAAACTAATGATGGGGGGTATGAATACTTTAGCAAGGTAGGTTAGCCATCTAAAGGTTTAGCCCCGCGCACAACGTTTTCCATCCAGTCTTTGCTCAGTCAACTTTAGTTTTGAGTGGAAACCATTTAGATCCAGCTGGCCTGGATCTGGAGTAACCGTGTAATTACACTTGGCCCATTTGCATGCTTCTGCAAAGCATCATAAATCAGGTAAAGCTGCCAGATTTCTCCCCCCCCCCCCAGCAGCATTGCCTGCTGCACAGCTCCTCAGGGAGGGTATGTTTAGCTTTTATAAGAAATTAAAAGTTTAAATGTTTTCTTATTTTGACATTCATGCCTGCTCACCTTCTGCATCCAACATTTTGGGGATGTCCAGGTACTTCTCTGCTACGTCAAAGGCAGTGTTCAGGTTGGTCATGGGGTCGTCCTGTCAACAGCAAACCATAGTGACGCTTTAAACCAAAAACTCTACTCTAATAATTCAACATATCTATTAGCTTAATAACTAAGAATTACTTACCAATATGCAGTTAAAAAAATCTAAATAATAAAATGCTTCCAGGTTTTTCACAGTTTTGTTAAAAAAAAAAAGGACTACCTACTGTAGTCCCCTCGGCTCTTTCTTTATAACTAATAGTTTAATTAAATGGACCGGCTCACCTTGCGCAGTTTTCCATAGTCTATGAGTTCCGGACGGTGTCGATGAATGAGCGCACAGAAGCCCAGGCCATCTTTCCAGCTGAAAGAGCAGAGAAAGGGAAATGTTAAATAATGTTTAATGCAAGGAGGCCGCTGTCGTCTGCTGGGCCCCTGGCAGCGCAGAGCCGGACAGAAAGAGACTGAACAAACTGGTGAGAAAGGCCGTTCCTGTCCTAGGCTGCACTCTGGACTGGCTGAGAGAAGGGAGCTGACCAAGCCTCCATCCATCATGGAGAACACCTTCCACCCTCTGCAGCAGACTGGAGAGGAGCTGAGCAGCTCCTTTAGTCAAAGACTTTTACAGCCTGTTAGTAAAAAGGAGAGCTACTGCAGGTCATTCATTCCTGCTGCAACCAGACTCTACAATGAGACGCTACAACCACAATAAGTTTTTCAATGTATAATGTGCAAATTGATACCCTGTGCAATAACCTGTTTCTCTATATTTGACACCCAGAGCAATAACTATATATATACTATATAAATATCCACCTATATAAATACCCTGTACAATAATCCCACTATTAAAAACCAGCTGTCATATGTGGACGCAGTGTATGGATCGTATATAACCCATTATCCTTTTTCTTCCTTTGGCACCTCCTTCTTCTCCTTTGACTATTTGATGTATTTCACTCCACTGTGAGATCTATAAAGTCAATCAATCTAAACCATCCTAATTACTTCAAGTGTTTAAGTGGTGAATTGAGTTTTTCCATGACATATATATCAGAAAACTTCAGTTTTCTGATATATATTTTTATCTTCTGCTAAAGTTGAGAAAGTTCCAAACCTTTAGTGTAGGAACAGAAAAGCTAAAGCTAAATGCATTGGGCTTCTGGTGTAGATTTAAGAGCAGGGATGTTGGAAGGACCTGTTTCATCAGTGATTCCTGTATTTGCATCATTATAGTGGTACTTTATATACATGGTGCCGTTTTTGTAATCTGTATCCATACTTTCTTCCCAAACAGCCAGTTGGTTATGATTAATAATCACAGGAAGTTTTCCTGTACACTGTTACTACATGCATGCACAGTTTAGGCGACAGTCCTGTTGCTATAAGGTTGTGTTCTGTTAAGTTAAAGAAAATGTAATGATGCACAAGGCTGGATTATGTTGGACTAATCTGAATGAAACAGAATCACCAATTGCATTATTTTATAACTAGGATTAAACTACTATATATGACATTTACTGAATCTGTTAATACACATTTATATTTAGGTAATTCAATCTAATCATGAACTTTTTTGGTTTTGTAAAAGCTGTGAGAGAAAAACAGCTTTAGTGTAGAAGGGCTAAAGTTAGAAACGTTCAGTTTTTGAGAAGTTAATAAATACGGCAATGGTTTATTTAGGCTGCGAGAGAGAGGAAGAATCTTGGCTGATAACAGGAAGGCTGGATAAAGGCTGGTTCGTCCTTCTGACGTTTCCATCTCCCACACAGAACACATTGGATTAGGAAAAGTTGGCTTAGATACAGTTTTCCTCCAAAAGGCATTTATTTTAATAACCTGTTCTGATGGCTTCTCATAACAGGTCAAGGATTAGTTCAGATGTTTTGAAACAATTTCCCATCGATTTATCCTCAGTAATGAACACCATAGATCCAGTAGAGCACTGGGACCTTGTTGTTAAGGTTCATTTATATAGTTGGAGGTTATCTAGTTAACCAGACAATGCTGCATCAGTCTGGCTAATAAGAATCCATTAGGATCATTAAAAAAAAAAAAAAGACCAGAAAATCAGAGGAAAGCAACACCTTTGTTGCTGCTGGTTGCAGAACATCTAAACTTTTATCCTCCCTTCTTAGAAACCGGTTAATTGTAGTAGATTTATGAGGCCATCAGCTCAAAGGAAACTCCAAATAAAAACCCTCATTCTGTTTGGCCCAACAAAATGGTACCAATACTAACACCCTACTGCATAATAATGGACTATTCTATCTACTAACATTGACTTGTATGTAGTGGTATTAAATAGCCGACGTCTGTTAAAACAGAGGGAGATAGTATGACATGTTTCCACCATAGTTAATGGAACCATTACCGAGAAAACCCAAAACAGTCCTTAAAAAAGGAATCAAATCTGTCACTTAATTCCATTAATCTACCAGGAATCCTGGGTGCCTCCATGATGTATTTCTGGATTGTCTCTGTAAAGTACCTTGAGATGACTTGGCCCTATAAAAATAAACTGAATTAAAATGGATGGACCATTTTAGTCCATTGATTGTGTCCTTGCTTCCCAACTCGGCTGCCTAGAAGCTGCATCGTCTCAATGTGGAGTTTTGAAAAACCGAAGCTCTGCAATCCCAGAGAAACAAAGACAGGCTGTTTAAATCCATAACCTGTCATAATAAGTTTCTACAGGTTTTTTTACGAGGCTACTTTCAGCCTTTTATCCCTGAAGTGCTCTAGTGAAAAATGGTTCTGATCTCATCTGCTTCTCATCTCCTCACTGAGATCCAGCTCCATCATCTCTTCTTGAAGGTCACATCAAAGTGGATCTATTTCCCCTCCTGGCGCTCCGTTTATACCTTCAGCTCCACCTTTTGGTCTCGCCTCAGCTTTCATCCACATCTGAGCATCGCAGTGATCCTCTCTCAATAATTCAGAGGCAATGAAGCCTTCTGTGAAGCACACACTGGTCCAACCAGTCCCCCCCCCTTTGATGGAAAACCCTGGCACCACTATAAGCTTCACACTTTCCAACCTGAAGGCGCCATTTCTAAGACTTTCAACATTTTTAAGATGCGCTCATTTTATATTCCTGCTAACTTCCTTTACCAGCTGGTCTGGTTAGACGAACAAACCTGATCTTTATCTAGCTTTCAGCCCCGTTATGAACATTGATATCAGCACCAACCAGTGGCGGTTCCAGACCAAATGTACCAGGGGGGCCAGGAGGGGGCCAGCGTGTTTTCATGGGGACACAGAAAAGCATTAAATTAAATAAAAACAGGGCAAGAGATTCAAATATATTAATATAGCTGCATGAAGTGAAATGTCTATTCAATTAGGTTTAATTAAAATGCTACGTCTTATTAGGTCAATATATATTCATAATTTAGGAATTTTACATATTTTTGACTTCATTTAAGTTACAATTAGTTTTCTATAAAATCTGAATTATAATTCAAGGAAAAAAAAGATAAATTCAGCTCTAAAACAACCATTTTTTTAAAATTTGTTTTGAAAAAAAACATTTATCAGATGAAAACTGGGATTCTATCTCCATACCACTGAAGCTATCACCTTATTGTTTTTAAATAATTAGTAAAACAGAATTTGTTAAGAAAAAAATGAAATGCATCCAAAGGACTCATCAGTAAAGGCTGATTTATACTCAGAAACCAGGTCGTCTGTGTGTCGCAGTGAACGCAAAGGTGCCCACGCCCCCTGCTGCAGACACTCTGCTGCTCCTTTACAAAACTGTAGGTGAGCGCAGACAGGAGGCCTCTGATTGGTCAAATCTACATCCGCTCTACACTATGCGTATATCCTGTTTGATACCAGGTTGTTTTGTTTGTCTGACCGCCATTGTGGAAAACAACTGGTGAAGATGGAGCAGCTAGCAGAGCGAGGTGCGCGAGAACGCTGGGACCCTTTTCCCATCTGGATCCCCGCTCTTTTTGACCCTCATGTCCCTCCGTTGTCACACAAACTCGCCCCCACTTCCTCACCGCCAATAGACCCACAGCTAGTTCCTGATTGGCCCTCTTGCTTTGTTGCGTGGAATAACATGACGCAGGCCACGCTTCAATATTGGGCATAAATCAAAAATAACTGCGACACGCTGCTGGGGGAGGATAACCATGTCTGTTCCAGTGCAGATCATCGTGACATCCCTACTGTCGCGTACCGCTCGCGGTAGAAGTCTGCTTCCGGAGGACGTCCGCATTCCCACGCGCAGCTGCCGTACTTGTGTTGAAGCAACATGGTGGATGGTAAAATCTATAGATTTAGGTATTACCCTAGTGGCCGTTAGCTGTAAAAGCCCACAGATAAGCCGCATTGTTATATAAGCCGCAAGGTTGAAAAATGGGGGAAAAGTTGCGGCTTATAGTCCGAAAATGAAAAAAAAAAAAAAACTGTTAAACTTTTTAGAACTAAAGTCTAAATAGAGAAGGAGACCCTTGTTGAAAATGTAGCCTAGTGGCTCCGTTTCTGGTTTGGCTGAGTTCTACCGTTTCCTGTCCTGCTGTTTTACCTGATGTGGAAGTTCTGGATGTTGACATTCTTGTAGGGAGCAGTTTTCCTCTGGCACCACAGCAGGAGGCCCTCTTTGGCCGATGTCTCTGTGGTCGGAGAGAAAGGATCATTGTGAAGCTGGAGAAACTTGCAGCCATTGACTTTGAGCGGCTCGGCTAATCCCTGTTTAGGGTTGGATTAAGTGGAGGTAAAGTGAATAGGAAGCATGTGTGCTGCTTTAGATGCTCTCTGCCTTTCTGTTACCACAGGTTAGGAAGCTGGCTTTCATACTGGGAGGTTTCTGTCATGAAATTCACTGTTCAAAACAATTTCAGACCAAACAAATTAAGGCATCGGATGAGAGTTACACTATGATTATGTTAGCAGAGTAAACGTTGATTTGATGAAATGCTTTCATGAAAAAACAAAAAAACCATCACAGAATCATGACAGAGCAAGTATTTATTTTATTAGAAATATAAAGAGCTCCAAACATCTAGTAAAGCAAGCAGACATTAAACATTACCTTCCACTGAAATGTCCTGGATGGCGAAGCGGAGGATAATTGTCCAGATCATTCCCAGGGTCATCTTAGCGTTACCGTCTACGATCTCTGAAACGGTAAGAAAAGAATCACATTTTAGTATTTCTACATTTTTCACAGGATTTTCAGATTCAATAGAACAAAGAGACAATTTTATTATTTATTTCATTCACTGGTGGATTTTCATTCATGGTCCTTCTGTCAGAACGGAAAGGTTGAAAGATTGGCTTTGGAATTAAAACCACTAAAGTTAAAAGTCAATCAGAGCATTTTATTTCAGGAAGCCGTTCGGTGTAAAGATGGCAACGCATGACGGATCACTCAGCTCAGCTTTTGCTCCAGTTTTCTTCTTTTTTAGCTTTTTTTAAAGACACAATTTCCAGATACTGATTATCGGCTGAATATTTTCCAATTCAAAACTAAAATGACACTTTGATGAAGCCGCTGATCAGGGCTGCTTTCATTGTTAACTAAACCTGTTTCACATTGAGTTTAGAGAAGTTACCATTGGGAACCGAAGCCCAATACTTCATACATGATTTCTTTATTTAACTGAAAGCATTTTCTATTGCGATGGCCTGCCTGCTCTTCTTTCCCAAAGTAACCGCAGACACAGCAGCAGGATTCCCACATCTGAGCGAGCGTGGAGCATCCACAGTGTGGGGCTGACCCTGCTTCACCAGGAGCTGCTGCTGGAATAATCTGCTTTGCACCAAAACACAAAGCAAATACACTGACAGAGAGCAGACCCATGGCAGAGGAAGAGTTTCAGGAGGAAAATAACTCTCTGCATTTTACGCCCTGTAAGATTGCATCAATCTCAAAGCAACAGAAGCTTATTTAGGACCTAATGGGGAAGTTAAAGAATTGAAGAATCAGCAGGTTGAGAAAGAAAAGGATAGCTGCAGAATGTTGCATAGAAGACTTGGAACAATATATTTTAAGGAATGAGATTATTAGTTAGAAACAGCCACAATCTTATGTTCTATTTTGTTCTATATCTATTTTCAGCTATAAACTGATCTCTATTGATGAAAACAACATTTCTAATGAGTTAAATCGGCCTTTCTGTTCAGGTTCACATAGAAATTTCATTCAAGATGTGCATCCAAACAGCACAAGACAAAAACCTTTTAAAACGGAGTGAAAATATTCAGACTTGATGTTTCAGTTTCTTCACACCAGCAGCATCATGTTTCTGAATGCTAACGCTGTCACTCAACCTACCTCTGTAATCCAAATGAGACATTTAGATTATAAGAATATATATTTGGAAACTGTAAAAAATAAATAAATGAATAAATCCAAATAACTATTGTAAATTTTAAAAGTACAATTTATGTTCAAAGCAAAAAAAATTGTAAACTGTTTAACAATATTCAAGAAAAACAGAGAGGGAGGGGTTTATTTAAAGAGGAGAAGGAAATATTTTTGCTTATCAGTATTTTGGGGTGGATTTAAGGAATGAATTAAATAATGGACTTAAAGCAGAAATATTTGACAATTTAAAAAAAAACAGAATAAAGAGGAACAGATTGGGATGTTTTATATAAGCTGAGGGGCTCAAAGGGGAAAAACTGCTGCTGTTGGAGTTCGATGTGTAAACTGTTATAGAGCAGCTCATGAAAAGGGGGTTATTTTCTGATTACTATGGAAAAACTTAAGGGTTTAACTGCAGGGAGACTTAAGTAATTAAATGTAGAGGTGAAGGAGAGCAGGAAATCATAAAGTTGTTTGTTTGTTTTTTACAATGTGTGTAAAATAGGCCTATTAAATGGCATGTCTATAGGCGTTTTCTCATTTATACTATGCATTGTATATTATGGGTCTATTTTAATTGATTGGGGAAAAAAAAGAAAAAGATGCGATAATGAGGATGCATTTGTTTGCATGAATCATTTAAAGTTACAGAGTTTAATCCTAAAGCAGGGTGTGCAGCAGAGCTTTCACCCAGAGCATCTGGATGATCCATCTAGTTTTATTTAGTCAAAGAAGCAGCTCAGCTCAGCTCAGCTCTGCAGGGGAACTAAAGTCAGCTTCATCCCTAACTCTCCCAGCCTCTCTTACACGCATCCACAGATCTTTCAGTGACCCGCTTGTTGTAAGCTTATGACCTACAGGAAGAACAACAGTCCACTACTGAAGTAACAAATGCATGGTCCAGTTTTTCTGCAGCCCTCTCAGGATATTTCAAATGTGGACAAAATTGCAAAGATAAAAGGAAAAAAGTCCTTGTTTACTGTGTGAGATGAGACTTAAATTGCATGTCCTGGTAAAAGAAAAAGCCAGTGTTATTCTCATTAATACCATTTTACTGTAATCCAAGAGAAACAGACCAACCAAGCAGCTTTTCAGAGAGAAGGAATTCTGTCTTCCCTGAATTTGAAAGCAGATCCTACAGATAGAAATAGAAAAAAAAGGATCACTATGTCCTCTGATGCGTCTCAGCAAACACTAAAACCTGACAGAGTTCAACCCAGGATTTAATGCCAGGGATTGTTTTCTCTCTCAGGGCTGCTCTAAAGCCAGTCTGCTCACGGCCGGCCGGACATGACGTCACATGAATGTTTCAGGTTCAGAAATGATGCGGTCAGTCGGTGATGGAAGTCATTTCCACTGCCTACCTTGGCCACACCCCCACCTTTCTGCTTTAAACTGACCAAGAGGATGCTGAGGTTTACTGTCACATAAGTTTAAATGAATCGGCGCAAAACCCATGAACGGAGGCCTTAGTCCTCGACGCGGCCGACCCGGGTTCGAATCCGATCTGTGCTGCTTAGCCGCATGTCTCCCCCCCCTCTCTCTCCCCCTTTCCCATCAGCCTACTGCTGAAAAAAACGAGCCCCTATAGTGCAGTAAAAACTTTTTAAAAAAGTTTAAATGAATCAAAATTCTATAAGCTTTATTTATTTTAGTCCGATTCTAATTCTATACATTAATAAGCTTTTATAAAAAATCTTTTTTTTTTATTTTATCAGAAGCAAGAATAAAAGTTCACAAATTTCACAGTTTTTCTTTTCAATTCATGCTTTATTTTAGGATGCAGATGCAAAAGTGGCAACTTAGATGTATTTTATATTTTAGATGTATTTTATATTTTCAGGTCATCAGAGGAAGAAAAATTTGATCTTTGTTCAAGATAGACGTTAAAGAAAATAAATTAAAATTTGTGAAAATTTTGAATTTCCTCACTTGCTTTGAATTAAGCATCTATTCTCTTCCTCTTGCCCCTTAAGCTGAAGTTAAATAAATAAAAAATTATCTTTAAAGAAGCGCCAATTAATGCAGCCAATGCTCGATTTAACCCTTCTATATAAATTCATATCAATTAACAATTGCAGTACATAAAAAGCTGGAAAGCCACAGCATGTCAAACTAGCATCTGATCAGAAGTAAACGAATGATCTGAATGAAAAAAAATTCACAGCAGTAAAGTCATTTGGTCTGCTTGTTTGGACCAAAAGCAGAGTTTATATTTGTTTAGTACAGTTTAAGCTCGTTGTACTTTTGAACTATAACCTGTAACAAAGCCGTGTGTGACAGTAGTTGGCTTCATTGGACGGGTATGATCAGGCATGAAGGAAAGCTACTGAGCAGCAAGAGCAGCTCATGCAACACAGGCTTCAAGATGTTTTATTCTAACTTTGAAGCTGGATCTTAAATCGTATCCGGGAACCAGGAGGAGACCCAAAGAGTTGCTAAGCAACAGACAGCGAATCAGGAGTGACGTTGGCGAGACGGAGGCTCCCTGTAGAGATCAGGGCCGCTTCGTTTCCCCAGCATTCGATTTGAAGCAGACTGAAGCGGGGAGTCTTGGTCCATCGTGTTCTGCAGCAGCTCTGCCTGGTATTCACATCTGCACACGTGGTTCAGGCCGAGGGGGCGAATGAACTCTAGGCAGTTTATAGCGGACCAAATATAGACCCTGAAAAAGTATTGATCCGACTACATCAACAAACCTGATCCTAAAGAAGATCCTACACCTTTAAATCATTTACAGACAGCATTCTAGGTTTGGCTAATTTCATGCAGTAGATCATAACTGGGTAACTAATCACCCAAATGTAAAAAAAAAAAAAACACCTAATGACACGTGCACTGCAAAAATTGAAATCGGAAGGGTTTTTTTTTTTCTTTAATTGATGTAAGATCATTTAAAATAAGAAAAAAACTATTAATTTGTCTTATTTGAAGTGCATAGTATCTAATCGTCTTATTTTAAGAGTAAATATACTGATTCCATTGGCAACGCATCTGATTTATCTACTTAATTAAAGGTAAATACACTTAATGTAAGATTTTGTTTACTTTTTCCAAGTAACGATTTTTTTTGCAGTGTAAAATAATGATGAAAGTATTAAACTGAACACTCTATTAAATTAATATTCGAAAAGAAGGTCAAATAAACGGACATTTCAAAAGCGTGGCAGAATGGCAACCCTACTGTTTTCATATATCTGATGAGTCGGACGTCTAGAGACAGAAATCTAATTTCATCAAAGTGACTTTAATAAAATGTTTAATGATTGGCCTGAGCGTGGAGCTGCTAAGCTGCCAGCATGCCTGCAGCTGGCTGTGAATAACCAGCCCATGTCCAGCCACCTCTGTGCTGCCGATAATTAAAATCTCCTTTACCAGGTCACCCCCTTTGCCTGCCTTCAATAATCATTTGTTTGTGCCGCTAATCCAATTAGGCTTGGAGCACGGCGGCTCAGCCGTGACGGATGAACCGACTTGGAGATGCCAGTCAGATGTCTGGATACGTAACGCTCTGTGAAAGGTGGCTCACGCCGAATTAGGAGGGAGGAAAAGTTGGAGCTCACTGGCTCCTGGTGACACATGCAGATCCTGCTGAGATTAAAGCTCAAAGGAAGAGAAGTGACAAACCAGGGGGAGGAGCAAAAACCTTCTAATTCTATCACAAACTATTCCTCTCTCTGTCTCTCCTGCATCCATTACCGCTGCAACCCCCTGAAGAGGTAGACCTGGCCTCCATCCCGTTGCATCCCATCACCAAGGCTACAGATAGAGGGAAGCTGTCGGATAACCAGGAGGACGCATAACCCGCCAGATAATCTGTCTGGAACGCTTGTCGGGTTTGGAGGCTGAAGATTAAAACAATACGCTGTAAATGTAAAGAACAAACCATCACTGCTACCTTTGATTAAAACCAAACAGAAAAGAATCGATGATTGATTCTCTGAACTTTCTTTCCAGCATAAATAATAATTTACTATACGGGGGAAAATAATGTCCCCCTTACTGATGGGCCAATACAATCGCATGAAGGAGCCTGTTTTAAAATGATCATTTTATATAATAAATTAGAGGCTTTCCAAACCAACCTGTGTTTGCTGTTAAATGATGATTTAACTGTTATTGTTAACCAGAACCAAACCCGATTACTGCTCAGCCTGGAGAATATGACAGTGGAGCAGATTGGAAAACTGACCTAAAGACATCAGATGATCCCTAAAACTTCTCATGTTGATGAAAAAGATGTAGATCCTGTTAAATACGATATCAAATTACATCTCAGAACACGTCTGTGAGACAGTTGAACATGTATGAGGTCATGTGACCGTTTGAGGCTCCTCTGGAACCAGGATCCAAAGATAGAACCAGCATTTTCTCTCCAACAGAGCATCCTGATGGAGACCGCCACCCAGCCATCACTTCACGACCTTAAGCTCAAAATGGACGATGCAGGTAAACAATGAAAGAATTCCAGATGATGTCCTCATCCCCACAAAAAACAACCTTAATGATGTTTTTTAGTCTGGCTTGCTCAATGTTTGGGCTGATTAAGATTCGATCGCTTTAAATCATAGAGGCTGTTCAACATTTCCTCACTGGGCCTAAAGGATCAAATTTCCTCCACAGTGATGAAAAAGACTCATTTAGAGTTTAGTGATGAGGTTCATCATAAGCAGCAGATGTTGCTGCCAAAGGTTGAGCAACCAGTTATTAGTTTATTTGAACACTAGACCTCTTTATTTAAACGTTCTCAGATCTCTGCCTTTGCTTTTATTCTTCATTACTTTGGTAAAAAAAACTTTAATCCAAATGTGCTTAAATGAATACATTTGAATTGAGCTGATTTTATTAAAAAATAAAGAAATAAAAAATCTCTCTATTGTCCAATAATTGGGAAATTGTGGGAAAAACTTGATAAAAACTTTCATTAAACTATTTCAATTAAAACCCATTTTTCTAATTTGATTTTACCGTCTTTGATTTAAGAAAACATTTTTAACTTTATTTAGAGTTTTACATCTGATGCAGAGGCTGTTACCACAAATGAAAAGGTTAACATGGTAGTTGTCTAATTATGTCACCGCCCCGTCTTTACTGGAAGCAGATGTCCGTGTTTTCTGGCCTGATCTCTGGTAGGTACCAGTTTGACGAAATGATGCGTGGCTGTGTGGGAAACACACGGCCAGAAAAACAGTATTTCCACATTTTAGTTGGTTTCTAAATGTGTTTTACTGGGATTATGTTGGTTAGACTAACAACAAAAACATGACTACGTGGAAATGATATACGACCTTTTTAAATAATATAAAAAACCTGAAGTGCGACACCTGTTTGCTCAAGCCTCCTTTACTCTGACACCTCTAACTAAAATCCAGTTCAAGCAATCTAAAAAAAAACTCCATTTACTAAAAATAGAGCAGCTGTAATCTGATCCCTGCATAAACCAAGCTCTACTGTCAGAACAAACCGTATCATGCAGAGCAGTGAACAAGGCAGACGGGTCAGGAGCAAAGTTAAAGCAGGGTCAGCTTAAAAATGCATATGCATCATATTTATAAATGTAAAGAATTTAAACCTTTTTACTTAAATCTGGCTTTTCTGGAAGGGTGTTAGAAAAGCTGTAGGTGATAAAATTTAAACAAGTAAAATTAGACCTACAGTGACACTCAGCTGAAAGCATCGTCCCATAAATGAATGAAAACAAAGATTACAAACGCACCATTCCTGTGGCAAAACAAGGTAGTGGAAGCATCATGCTGTGGAGACGTTTTGATTGACATTGACATTATCCTGAACCAGTATTATGGAGGAAAATATTTAGTTTAGTCACAATTAAGCCATGAAAAAGTTTAAATCAACAATTACTCAAGTTTTGTCTAGTTTTAGTATAATTTAGTTTTTATTTATTCTCCATCCGTATAAAGTATACAGAGTGAATACAGTTTATTTATGAATTCTAAATCTCATGTTTTTAAATATCAATGTGACTAAAAACTTATTTATTCAACTATTAGTGATGAAATGCCAAAAATAACAATGACCAAAACTTTATATTTATTTATTTACCAGCCAATACAGCAGAAGAAATTAATTCAATCAGTGATTCTCTTCCTCCTCCTCCTCATCATCGTCATCATCCTCTTTCCATGCAGTTCTTTCCTCAGTTTCCATCTTATCGACTCCTTTATTTTCCATGACAATCCAAGAAGAAAAAAAACTCACAAATCACAACGATGAATAATCGAAATCACTCATAACTAATCCAAAAACACACACAGCTGCATGTGGAGGAGACAAGGTGCTGCTCCTCTGCTTCTGTTACCATGACAACTGCTGCTGTTAGACATCATACTAACCTGGCTAATAGTTTACACACCTGATGATTTTATAACGAGTATAAAGTCCTTCAATCAAAGATTCGGGGACAGATTGTCCACAGTGGGGACTGTCCCCAGGAACTGGGACCCAGATCTTAAACACATCATAACCTTCCAACAGGACATAAACTGAACATCACACTCACTGTTCATTTTGTTTCTCACTGTAGAAAGTGGAGTCATTTATGGATGGACTAATGTGAGGACAACAAAGTCAGCTTTGGCTTGAAGCTAACAGGACTTTTACTGTAATATCAGAGCAGAGTATCTGACCTGATGGATCATCTGTAAAATGATTCAGTGATGTCCATCCTACAGGTTCATGTCTCTAACAGAGCAGCATTGTTGATCCTTCAGCTTTTCACAGATTCATAAAGGGAAGAAAAGTTAGATTTATTCTTTTTTGTCTGTTTTTCTTCTAGTCTTCGTCTCTACAACAAAAACTCAACCATGTCTTAAAACTATCATGGTGGCAGAATGATGATCTAAGCTCGCAAGTTGGACAAGGAGAGCATTAATATAGTGATGCTGACTTTGGAAAAGCTGCAGAGACTCTATTGAAAGGACAATAGTAGCTTTCTAACATATTAATCTGGACTAATGCACAGAAATGTTCATTTTGTATGTCCTCAATATTTCCTTCTAACCTTCACCTAAAAAACAACAAATCATGCACACCTCGTCCTTTTATAGTCATTGAAAAGCCAACCTGATTTCATTTCCGCCTCTATTGTCAATGAAAAGCTTTTCAATTAAATGTTTCCTCTTTGACGAAAACAAAATTGCCATCAACATAGAGAAATAATAGGAGAAATAAGATCATCCATGTGTAGGAATAGTTAAGTCAAAGTGTCTTTTCGTTGTTCAAATAGCTTACAAAAGTTTCACTGCAGCAAACAGCTGATATAATTTCTTGATTTTTGTTGTTTGCAATTCAACTTTACATGCATCTTTTTGTTGCTTTTTACCCTTGCAATTATGCAACATTTGTAATTACATGTACTTGTAACCTGATAATATTTGAACGTTTTGCAAGGCATTGTACATCCAGCATATGAGTTTTTCCTGGCAGCAGCTGGTAGATTCCTGAGACATTAGCTGATCCAGACACCTGCATTAGTGCATATTGTAGACCTCTGGAGCACATGTCCATGAAACACACATGAAAAGGGCAGCTATCATCAGTTTTAGTCTTTTTATTTAAAAATAAATACAGATGACAGCCAGGATTTTTCAGAGCAAGCAAAGCAGAGTTGTTGTTTTATGAAATCCCTCATGGTCGTTGCTTTGAGCAACTCAACACATTTTCAGTTCAACATCGTTCAGCATAAATTCAACCGACATATAAAAATAAACCATTTAGTCCTTAAAGCATTCTGCCCAATCAACCCTTAAGAAACTCTGATGTTTATCTACTAAATAGACTTTATTTTAGTGTCTGCTGCAACAAGTAGGAGCAAAATGAGGAGGGTGTGAGCTTGGCTGACAGTAGGAGGAACAGGGAAAGACGTTAAATAGTGAGGCGACACAACATTTATTGAGTTAAAGACTTGTTTAGCCTTTAATAGGAGCAGGACGGGCTTCCCCTGCTCATTTGTGCTGAACAATGAATACTCTCAGCTCCTGAGGGGGATTTGCTGAGACTGAGATCTTCCCTTATAAAGTGCAGAGGAAGCAAAAGCAACACAGCCACAAGACTTTAGAGCAACGATCTGATTAACAGCCACCGACCCTGCCTGCTAACCACAGATGCATCAGAGGCGGAGCTACGGATGGGGGCGGCCTTCTAAAGATGATATGCAGACGATAAGGAGAGTAATCAGAGTCATTGAACAGGAACGTCTGTCTGTGGGTATTAGCATGTAGCATCTCTCACCTTCTGCTCCAATAGAGACCAGCTTCACTCCTTTACTGGCGATGAAGTCAAGCGCTTTATTGACATTGGAGATCTTGTGGACTCTCATTTTTCCTCTCTCTGGTTTTGCCAAACGTTCACCTGAAACCAGAAACAAAGTAATGACGTTAACATGCTAACATGCTAACATGCAGACCAGGTCTTTAGCTTTTACCGCCTCAGAACCGCAGCTAGGGAAGTCTTCTATTTAAACTGCAAAATGCCAAACGCTGTAAGTTTGATTTAAGTGCATCATTTAGTCACATTATGGCCAACCTATTGCTGCATCTATAACAAACATTTCTAGCAAAGCAGGAGCTTCTGATAAAGTTTGTAACCAGAACATTAGAGATTGGATAAGAGACTTTAAAAACATCTGAATAAACTACCTGCTAAAATCTTCGTTTATTAATGGAACAACGTAAATTCTACACAATATCACACAAAGAAGAATAAATATAAGCCAATTAAAATCAATCCGCCTCCTGTCTGTGACATCATGGTCATTTTGACGCCTGCCAGGAGCCTTCCAGGTATTTAGACCACTTTGCATTGGATGGGGGCGGGGCAAAGTGCCAGGCTGTGGTCAATTCAACGCAAATAAGGATGTATGAAGGTAAAAGATGCAGTGATGAGATCACAGTTTTCCACATCTTAGTTTCTTTTTTGTTCTTCGGGAATTTCTGAATTTTCTCCAGCTGTTATCTTTCAATACGTGATCAGATCTCAAATTACAGTAAACCTACAGAATATCATCAAGAGATGACAAATAAAAGACCTAAAAACACACCAGAGGCACTTTTAAAGTAACTTTGGGTTCCTGAACACTTCAGCAGATCCATGATCACAGGGCTGCAGTAATTCATGCAAAAGGAGCCCTGCTCAGGCTTTGGGTTCATAAAGTCTAAACAGAGGGACTTAAGTATATCAATCTATATTTAACCTTAGATGTATTTTATTTTACTTAATAATTGATAATATAATGAAATAAGGCGAGTGTTCCTCATCCCCCAATCGATCACATCAGATTCTCTGATATATCCAACGTTTTTCATCCATCTACGCTGAAACATCTGTTTACCTGAGATGACCTCCAACAGCAGCATGAGCTTCAGTCCGTCCCGGAAGTCCTCCTCGATGTTCTCGATCTGCGTTCCCGCCTTTCTGAGGTGCGAGTTGCACCAAGCTGTAAAAGTCTGCAGAAACAGAGAAGACAAAAACCATCAGTACGTTCTCTGGCTTAAATCTAAACACGCCTTGTTGTTAAGACTTCCTACCTGCACTATTTGTACGTTTTAATAGCGTTCTATTAAACATTCAACGTCACACCTTTTTACAAGATGCTAAAAAGCTTCAATTCTGAACATTTCTTATTGAACCAGCTCAAACAGAAGCGTCGTGTTAAGCAGGTGAAACCAGAAAACATCTGGAGCTGTATCCGAAGAACACAGGAGTTGGCCCGATGAGCGCAGTCCCTGCTGTGAGCGACTCTTTATGAGCTCCGAGTTAATTACACCCCGAGTCTAAAGCGCCATGTTTCCAACAGAGAGCTGGAGGAGGACCTACAGGAGCGAAGCCAGGCTCTTATGAAAGCCACCACTGTGTCTCATTGGCCGGCCTGACACTTTAGGCTGACAAAGAAACGCCACGATGAGGTCACCGTTAAAAAACACGCCGACCTGAGGTTTACCTGGCTGTCAAACCTTATGTGTACGTATTGTTGGCGACTTTGGTGGATTTTTGGGAAACTAGGCAGGATGCAGAGTTGGGAAAAAGATGGATTATATGTCACGTTATTTTCATGACAACTGACAGAAATAAAAGGCTCCAACAGGAAAACTGGTTCTTAATCAGTAGCAAATTAAAGGCTAGCTACTGAAGCACAGCCCAGAGAGCATCAGTTAGCACAAATACTGTATGACTATCAAAGACTCGTGCTCCACCTTTGTTCCATTTTGCTGTATTATTGTCATCATTGGGTGACAGATCTGGTAAGCTCTGGACAGATTACATCCCATCACAGAGAAAACCAGACACACACGTACAAACAACTGTATTAATATTGATGATATCACCAATGGGACAGAGATCAGGGAAGTAAAAAATGGAGAGTAACAGAGGGGAGCCGGAGCGTAGTCAATGCGCTTCATTGTTTGGCTTTTTTATCCATCTAATCTCTTTATCATACCACGGCAGCGCCATGTTTACCGAATGCAAGCAGACTAGTTTCGAATCGTTAGATCGGATCCGACTAGCGCGATGACGTCACGCATGATTGTTGTGCTAGATGGTATCATGAAGCGTAGCGGGTAGATCTGATGTTCCCACTGTATCCCGATCGGAGCAGAGCCGTTTGAAGGCGGTTTTAACCCGGGTCGCTTATCGAGTCATTTGACCCAGGTCAGCACGGGCCAGTGAGCTGTTCCCACAGATACTGATATCCGATTGTTTGCGTGTTTAAACTGGTTTTTCGTTCAGTAGGAAAGGGGTATAGTAGGAGCTATTGGTCCGGTCAGAGAGCGCACACGTCACGCAAACTGGACTGAGGTAAAACAGGCTAGGATTTCAACTGTGGAATTTCTCTGCAAGGAATTTCAACTCAAAGGTTGAGCAACTACTTAGAGCAATATTTGTGGGTAAATGAAAAGGGAACCTACTCCTCAGGTACATTTCTGAACTTAAACCTGCTTTAACCCCAATAGCTGCTATGGAAATAAAAAGAGGTCAAATCCAGTTTGTTGTTTAGACAGAATATAAGTTTAAAACTTTAAACTGAAGAAAAGTAAGCAGGAATCAGGACTCAGAATAATTTAAGGAGCTTATTCAACAGAGATGAGTTGCTGTTGTGGAAATCATTGATTTAGTAAAGATATTCTGTCAAAATGGGACATTTTCATTCAACCAACTTAAATTAGAATTAGATTTTTTTTTCATTGCCACTGTCTGCCCAGCATATATTAAAATGCACCATGGTCAAACATCTAACTGCTTTATATCAAAGGATACATTATTTTTAATAAGATCAGACAGATAAAAGTTTCTCTGGTCTACTGGTGAGAAAAAAAGACATTGCAGTGAAAATATCTAAAAGTTCATAACAGGAATGTAAGCTTGTTAAATGTGCTGAAAGGAGGAGTCTGGCTCTCATGCAGGGCGACAGGCCTCCTCCTGAGGAGTTAGCCAGCCCTCCTACAGATCCTCAAGCTCTCTGGGTCCCTGTGGAGTTTGGCAGCAGCAAACGGCCCCGGCTGCCAGCCACCTGCAGGATCACATGACCCCGGAACCACATTAGGGCCGACAGTCCTGGGTCCTTCTGGGGTTCTCCCACTAAAACATGACGGGATATAAAACCAGGAGCTGGATGCTTCCAATCGTTGTTACACATTGTGATCTTCCATTTCAATGAAATATTTTAGATTATTTTAAATATCCAAAGCGCCAAGCCAAAGGTCAACATACACTAAAAAAAAAAGATCTATGATAGGTAGGTATTCATCTAACAACTTGAATCTGATAGAGCTATAAGGGATTATTATATTATAGGGATGATGAGGCTTTCCAACCAAAACACCTGCAGCTCAAAGATAAATCATGACACAACTGGAAACATGCAGAAACTGTTGATTGCTTCGATACAAATAAAGAATCTTCTACTATGAAAAATGGATTTTAAAAAAACAACTTGCAATTTCTCATAAACTAAGAATAATAAATAATATTCTCCAACTGATAAGCACTCCATTTTTTTTTAAGATCTTATGATAGAAGCCTCTCTGTTTCCTATCACTCACAAACATCTTGTTTGAATAAAATAACTGCACCTGAAAATAAAAATGCCTTATTAGCTCACCTTACTCTGTAGCTTTCTGGTCTAAAGGTGCGTAGTGCCACTGGTTTCCATTTCTCAACTACACTGCAAAAAAGATCTAGAAAGAAGTTAAATATTCTCAAATTAAGTGTATTTACTTTTTAAGATAATTTGCCAATAGAATAAGATTTTTACTCTTAAGATAATTAGATGATATGCACTTGAAATAAATTTGAAAAACTATCTAGATACAAGTAAAATGTTCTTATATTAAGTGTATTTACCCTTAATTTGAGCAGGTAAATTCGATAGTTTGCCAGCTGAATGAGTATATTTACCCTTAAAATAAGATAATTAGATAAAATGCACTTAAACTAAGACAATGCAAATGTGTTTTCTTCATAAAAGTGCAAATTGTCTTGTTTCATTGGCAAAATGTCTCTTATCTCCTCAATCAAAATGACTTATCTAGATTTTGATTTTTTTAAATGTAAATTATCTTGTTCCTTTGGCAAAGAGTCTCCCTTTCCTTCTAAATTCAAGACAAAATTTAATTATTTTAAGAAGAAATCACTTATTTATTTTATAATCTTTGCAGTTTTCCCATTGTGTGTGTTTGTGTGTTCTGCATCACCGTGACATCAGTGCCAGAATGGCATTGTTGGTCTAAAGTAGATGAAATGGACCTGAAACATTTGAATTTCCACTCCTAAAATCAGCCTCCAAACAGTTTGATGCATGAAGGAGGGCTTCAGCGGCGTGCTGCGTGGCGTTTCTCATGTGCAGCCTGTGAGCTCCATGTGTGACTGTTGTCCTTGTAGTTTGTGTCGGTACAGCATGTCCTGTGAATGTCTGAGCTGTTAACATGTCTGCTGCAGAGTCCTGTGGACCGAGTCCTGCCTGTAAACATCGTTTAAATGCTGCAGCCTGTTTCTCCTTCAGCAATGTGCCATGCATTAAGCTGAAGCCAAAACGGGACAGTCTGGCTCTCTGTGGGAGGAACTGAAGGATCATATATTTTGAGCCCCCCCCCCCCCCCCCCCCTCACTTGTTCTGGTCTGCTCCCTCTTTTTCTCCAGTCTCAGCCTCCCAGAACAGAGGCAGGCTATAAAACAACAGGGGTGAAGAGGGGGAGGAACCTGCTCAGCATCAACTTTTGGGAAAGTTGTCTGTCAGCATCATTAAATTCAATGTTTTTGGGGTGTTTTGCTGGTGGGGTGATTTCCCATTGCAGCTACTGATGTTACTGCAAAGGTAACTTTGCTTTAATGATAATTGCAAAGATGAAAAAAACGAATAACAGACTGAATAAGACAGATATCTGATATTTGAAGCAGGAAGGCAGCTGGACTCATTTAAAGTCAAACCTCCAGTGTTTATCACTCTGCTGATTTGGAACCGTTTCTGTGACCTCTAGCATCTTAGGATTGTGGGACTCTGCTGCTGGTAGACCCCATCTGACACTGAATGATGCAAATGTTAAACTGTAATATGGATTTTACAAACTGTGATACTTTACCAGTGATATTTTGTGCAGCCCTAATTAAAAACAGTTGCTTACGTTGTGAAAACCAAAAAACGTTTTCTGTGCTCTCAGATTATAGGAAAGGTTAATGGACGAAATAGCAGCAAAGATGTTTTTAATATGATTAAAGATTTTGTTTAAGCCTAAATTAAAAAGAATAATAATAATTTATAGTACAAAAAAATAAGAGTTTTGGCGTTTAAACCCGAGTTATACAATCGGCCGTCTGCATATTTTGGAACGTAAAGTTTGAAATGTTTTTGCACTTTGTTTTGATAATTCTCAAAGCAGAAAACAAAAATTTAAACTCATGGCATATCTGTAGATGTTAATATTTGCAGATTGGGTTGTTGTTGTTTTAACTGTAATGCAGAATATGGTGCTTGCTATGACTGCTTAGATAGGATTCATTTCACTGACAGATTTCAATAAGAAGTAAAAGTTAAGTTTAAGGCTAAGATTTTTTATTCTATTTGAGTTTTAAGAGATATTTTACTAAATGGTAAGGCAGTAAACATACATTAGGTCAAGTGACTCGTCTCCTTTATTTGCTCCACTTGTTTCCTTAATGATCGAAGCAGAGAAACTGAAACAAACGGAGCCTTGAATGAAGGACAGGGAGAGCCGTCAGCTCAACCTTGAATTTATCAGCACACAGATAACTGAGCTCAATAGTTTGGACTATTATTTAACTGCAATAACTAACAGATAATGATGCGTTGCTGGTTTTTGGACATAGCTGAAGTCAGCCTGTAATCTATTCTAAGGTGACGTTAGTTGAAATTTGTCATTGGTGATTCCCATATCAGCCAATGGTCTGATTGTTCCTGTTATGCCTGTGATTTATTACTAGGGCTTTCGCC